TCCTATTTTTGTTTTATATTTTGACGTGCCTTTTATCAAGGCGATGAGCTAATTTTTCTTAATTTTTGATACAAATAGGTATTTTCTTTAAATGTATAAATTATTTAAATATAAAATTCTTTTTAGAATAGAAATTTTAAAATTAAATTAGACTAGAATGCCCTTTTTTAGTTGTTGAGGGAGGGAGAGGGGTAGGTTAGAGAGAGGTCGGGTTGGAATTGGAATCAAACTACTTATTTACATATTCTTGAGTAAAACACAATAAACATATTAAAAATATTTAATCAAAACCCAAAAAAAAGTATTCAATTTGTTGTTGAGCCCTCAGTAAGATCAACACCTACCAACAGCTTAATTTAGGAGACTTTTTTTAATTAGGTTGATCAATAGGCGATGGCAACCATACACCGAATTTAACATACCTCCGTTTTTAATTATGATATTCTCTATCCCTAGAAGAATATGTATTAAAAATCTGTTTCCTCTATATCATTTTATTAATTTTTTAATAAAGTTAGTTCCTTAATTTGTCAGTTGACAAGAATCTTGTTTAAATTTTGATTAAAAATTCTAACTAAAAAAGAACAGATTTAATTAAATATTTAAAAAGTTTCAAGCTATAAATTTTGCGTCTGGCTTTCTTCCAATTTTTTTAGCTTTTACACGCCCTTGTGTGTATTTTATATTTTATCCCCAAAAAATTTATAAAATAAAAATTTAAAAAAAGTTTATTTAGCTGATTTTCCCTTCTCGATTGACGCAAATCCCTTTTAATTTTTGCCAACTTAATTCTTTCTTTTTTGTATTCTAACTTTAGTATTTAATAAATTATACTGCCGCCAACCTTATCAATTTTTAAAATACTTTTTCATTCGTTTTTATTAAAAAGAAATTGAAAAATCCCAAAAAAATTCTAAAAATGCCCAAAACGCCCTCAATTTTCAATTTCCTTTTAATTCTTCCTTTCCTTTTCCAACCATCTTTAACTGGAATAATACCTCAAACTTCTTCAAATGGTGTTGTTTCTATACCAATGGATAGAAATAATTATAAAAAATGTGGAGTACTCAATGTTGCGGGACAAAACGTTACCTTAACTTTTGCTACGGGTTTGCCTGATTTTTGGATTGTAAAGGAAAAACAATCCGAATCTTTATTGAAACCACTCAATAAATTAGTTGAAATTAAAGATGCCGGTGTTAAAGGGCCTTTGGTGAACAGTCAAGTATCGGTTAGTTTTATAAAATATTTCATCACAACTTTAACATTTACTCCTCCATATCATTAGAAGGAAGTTTGTAAAGGCCGGGCAGGATTACCTGTGACAACACTGATAGTCTCGCTCGGCCTTGCTCCGGGCAACAATTAACTATGCTTCACCTTTTTTCCTTATAGTTCGTTTAATCCCCGCTTAAGCGTTTTAGATGCTGCTAGGTGAATCATCCTTACAATATTTAAGGACTAAAAATTTAAGGATATGGATTATAGACACCCAAGTTACTTGATAAATTTTTCAACTCTAGATCTGCGGTGTCAAAATACCAAATGTGCCTTTAGTTGTTTTTGATTCTTTACCTGCTACTTATTCAAGTAGTTTGGCAAATATTGGTGGATTGTTGGGTCTTTCTAGCTCATCAGATAATGCCAATACCAAATCTCCATTACAATATTTAACACAAAATTTTCCAAAACCAATTTTGACATTTTATACAAAATCTAATGGAAAACTAGAAATGTTTGATTTTTTAAATTTGAAAAAAAATTTTTTTCAATTTTTTTAAATTTGAAAAAAAAATTTTTTTCTAATTTTAAGACCTTCACAAAACGAAAAAAATGTTGGTTTAATAACGTTCGGTGGAGAAGATAATAAAAACTGTGGTGACTATAGTTATGCCCCCCTAGCAGGGAAATCTGACTGGAGTGTTAATGTACAGTGTGTAAAAGTTGGAGATACTGAATGTGCTGGAGCTAAAAATAAAACAATGACCATATTAGATGATGAACTTTTTATGCTTGCCCCGCAACAAGTTGTGCAGGAAATTGCTAAAATTATGAAATTAAAACCTTTTGGAGGCGAAGATAATGGAATCTATGTATTTTCTAAAGGATCTTGTGATGCTAAAAATATTGCTAAGCTGCCAACGATAACAATAACTGTTGGAGATCCAGATGATTGTGAGAAACAAGCAACGATTAATATAACTCCAAAACAATATCTACAATATGTAGGGTTTATACACAGGCGGACATCAGTATAAGATAGTCACATTTTCCTGTTATAGGGGATAATGACTTATACTAAAGTCCGAAATGTATCTTGAAAATATTTTAAAAATATTCTTTTTAGACCGCCTTAGGCGATTGCCGGTTACTTATTGCTAATAGTGTAGCAATGGGTTATGAAGATGGCTATCTCATGGGAGCTAAATTCTTTGATGATCGATGCATTTGTACAAACTGGAAGGAGGGCACTTTGGGATTTGCTGATGCTAAAATTTAAATCTGCTAAACGAACGAGTGAGGGGGAGGGTTAATTGTACACAATTCTCTTAATTGTATTTTTCACCTTTCTATTAATCAAAACAAAATTTCAGTAAAGTTCCAAATTTTATTTAATCTATGAAGGAAAGCGAATAAACATCAAATACTTTTTTAAAATTTTTGTTAAATAATCTCAAATTTTCGCATCCTTTTCAAATTTCTTGCTTCAAAAGCAAATTTATTTTGTCTGGGTAGTTTGCCCTCCAGTGGTAGTTGTAGTAGTGTTGACCGGCTTAAAGTCAATTGGAATGGTGCGCTTTCCCTCAGCATTTTGTTTAGCGGTCACACACATACGTCCAGTAGTGTCCATGTCACATCTTAAGGATGAGAAGTAAAATTATTTCACATTACTCCAAAACTCACTTGACAGTTTCCTTCTTAATCCCATCCGGAATATAGACACGGCGAACAAACTGGCGATGGACAGATTCGCCTAATTTTAAATTATTTATTTAATCAGTCCACTCAGACCTTGATTTTGCTCTCGGTGTTCTCCGGTGATTACAACTTCGTTGCCTTGAACCTCAACAGTCATCTCCTCAGGACGGAATCCTGAAACATCGACCTTGTAGGTAAAATCACCATTGGGCTCAATCTTCATTTGGGCAGCATGATCGCGCATCTGAAATTCCCTTTCAATGAAGAGTTATCTAAAAGGTAAATCGACACCTGGAAGCCCATATGCTCATCATAATAGCGATCCATAGATTGCATCCAACGCTCCATTTGGTCAAATGGGTCAGTCCAGTTGCGTCGGTATCCCCACCATGGGACCATAGAGCGGTTAGCCGGAGTATTGCTGTAAGCGTTGTAAATAGCTGGAGAGAACATTTTCGAATGTTTGAAGAGTAAAGGAAATAAAATACGCTAAAAACAAATATCAAATAATTATTGGATTATTATATAGTAATGAGTAGGCTTTAGGTTTACCTTCATTATCTTTTAAACGGGAGTAGGGGGAACTTAGAAATATTGGATTTTATCTCCTAATTATTCAACAACTTTTTACTGAATTAAAAAGAGCCTCCCGAATAGCATAAATTTAATATTTATTTCAAAGGCTTAAAGCAACTAAAATATTTGTTTTTCTACGAGTAAGTGAGAGAATAAGTGAGAGAATTTTATTTTTATTTACATTTAAATGTTTTGAATAAAAATGTTTGTTTGTTGAGAGGCCTTGGGCCTTCCTTTATATATTGACAATTTCGAGCAAAGTTCATACACATATGTGTTTGGTAAGTAAAAATGCATAGCATAGCAAAAATAGAAAGAAAAACGAAGCAAAAAAAGAGATTAGCTGTGGAAAATAATGGACAGGGCAGCAAAACAAAAATATTCAGTCTTGAAAATATAAATTAGCTGGTGTATCGATGAAAATTTTGTTTTTGATAGGACGATTAATTAAACTAGTAAGATAAAATTTTGCTGACTAAAAGTTTAAAGTTAAAGGACAAGGACAAAAAGTGCAAGGGGAAGAGCAACAACCAAAACAACCAAAAAGCGAGAATTTTCATTAAAGTGTGAAGAAATTTGTCAACTCGAAAGATAAAAATATAAGAAGATTTATGGGTAGAATATTAAGTTCTGAAAATGTTCGTTCTTTGGTTTATCTTCACAAAAATGACAGTTTAACCTTCAGACATTAAAGGAAGTCTAAGTTTAAAATGGGCATTTTAAGTGAAATAGAATGTGTAAAATTTTTGGAGAAAACTGAAGAAAAACTCACCGAGAATTGTCTATCCATTGATTGACGCAAAGAATATTTAACGAGAAAAAATACTAAACACTATTTAAGAAAATAAAATTTTATTTTTATGGTCTTTGGTGCAAAATGAGGAATTGGATAAACAACTTTAGATGTAAACAAAAAGAAATTTGATGTAAACAAAAAAAAATATTTTAAAATGATAAAAAGGATATAGAGGATAAAACAAGCTAATATTAAAACAAGTTAATATTATCCCATAGTGATGCAATTTGTAAACAAAATTAAATCATATCATCAAGGCCTTAAACTAAAGAATTCAACTTGAAGCTTATTATTGGATGTAACCTTTTCAAAAATTGACTGATTTCGATACACTTTGCTTTACATTGAGCTTAATCTGTAGCTTAATTTTTTGCCTACAAATACATTTATTAAAGAAAAAGTTAGCTCTATGTGTCGTATCAAGTCTCTTTGGCAAGGAATCTCTTTGGCAAGTTCAAATATGTGGATTTGCTGTTTTATCTGGTGGATTAATATCTGCTGATTCTAGGAAGATCTTTTTTTAATTTATTTATTTTATATTTAGATAATTTATTCAATTTAACCAATATTGACTAATAATATTACTTCAGCCAACGTTACGATTATTTCGAAAATCATTTCGTTCCCAAATCGACTCAATCCACCGTTATTCTCCCAAATCTCTCGATATATCCACAAAATCTTTAATAAACCAATTCTTTTATAAACATCACTAATTTTTAAATATCGTTTAAAAAAGGTTGGGTTCCCCGCCGTTTCCATGGCACTTCGATACAATTTTTTCCTTCCCCCTGCGAATTGCTATGAAAAAAATCTTAATTACTCACAAAAAGCAAAGAAATTATATTTATTTATTGGCATTTGTTTCAACGAAAAAATAGGTAAAAATTTTCTTTTAGAAATAAATATCTTTTAAATAATAACAGATACTTAAACTTCAAAAAATGGAACAAGCCCGAATGACTGTTCATCAACTTCGACAAGAGGCAAATATTAATCGCAAAAAAGTGTAAGATTTTTAAATTTTGATTTTTGAGGGAAAGATTTATTTTTTTATAGGTCTGATGTTGCTAGAGAGTAAGTTTATTATTATATTTAAATATTTTTATTATTCTAGTTTAATTGACTTTTGTGAGACCAAAAAAAATGAAGATCGCTTAATTACAGGACCAATAGGGCCCAATCCTTTTCAAGAAAAGAAATCTTGTTCATTGCTTTGATTTAATTTTTTAATCTATATTTTATTTTATTAATCTGATTAAAGCGAAGGAATGTTTTTTTGTTTAATTTTAAAGTTTCTATATAGTCTGACCCGAGTAAATAACGAGTCAGGCATATGTCATGAAAGTGCCCAACACAATACAAACCAGCTAGAAAATTCTTGAAAACTTCAACCCCGTTAATCACAATAGTAACTAATTCTAATATAATTTTTTAAATTCATTTAACGAACCTTTACATTTAGTCGTAAATAAAAATGATTGTTAGTTTATCAATCAAAAATAAGTTACACAAAATAAATAAATAAATAAATAAATAAATAAATAAATAGATAATAAAAATTCTAGTAATACCCTCCAATTATTTAAATTATATATTCATTTCTTTTTGGAAGTTGATGTATTATTATTTGTTGACATTAAAATAGAACGAAGTAATTTACTAAAAAATAATTTTTAATTTAAATAATTCTAAGTCTAAAAATTACGCTTTTTGAGAATTTTCTAATAATCCAGATATATTTCCAAGAGCTAAAGCATAAGATGTAAAACCATCATGTTTATCCAAATGATAATAAATTTGATCATCTTCTTCTTTACCAACAATATTTTTAGACAAATCTTTGTCAGAAATAATAATTATTGAATTTGTTGAAACTAAAAGAAATTTTTTTGAATTAAAAAAATTTTAATTTAAAAATTTAACCCAGAGACCCCTCCGTTGATTATTAAGCCGAAAAAGCATTATTGATTCTTTGGTTAAGTGGGATATTTTGAAAAAAGTGAGAGTGAGGTCGATGGTTCGAACCCTCTCGCAGTAAAATTTTTTTAATAATTCTAAAGGCATCTCAGGCACTTTTTGTTAATTATATGGTAAAAATAAATCATTTAATGGAGAATAACTATTTTTCTCATAGAAGAAAGTTTGAAAAAATTTTTTAATTAAAAAAACCAAAATTTACCATCAATTGAATGAATTTTTGCAATTAATAAGGCATAAGCATTATTTGTAGAGATAGTAATTGTTGTACCAACTTTTAATTGAAAATTTTCCAATTCTGTTATTTTTTCATTGCTAAAATGTTTTTAAAATATTTTTAAAAGAAAATCTTAAAAAACCTTTCTCGAGTAAAATGTAATAAAAAAGAATTTTTAAAACTGTCAACATCATTTTTAGTACAATTAGAAGAAATTAAACGCATATTCGCTAGACAAGTTCCAAATAATTCTCTGAAAAAGACAAAAATAATTTGATACTTATCTAGATTAGACGTCCAATGATAAGTTTATAAAGCCAATTTACACGTCCATTTAATTCTCCAAATAAAAATTTTATGCGTCCAATCTGTGGCGTTAAGTAACCGGTTGTGCATGTCTACTCACCTAAAGTTATGGTACACTCAAGCAATAAAAAATCATAGGTTCTAACACACAAAATCGGTTACTAATTGCCATAGGTTGAACACAAAAATATGATTTGACTCAAAATCTTTTCAAGGTTGAACGGACATGTAAAGGTGCAATTGCACACGCGTAATCAGGACAAAGAGCCACTAATTTTTAAAAAATAAAAAACCTTTCTTTTGGTGTTTTTCTAAATAATCGTAATGTTGAACCATTTTCCCAAACTTTTCCCCATTCTTCAAGTCCACTTTTTATCCAAGAATTTATTTGAAGAATTTCTTGTTGGTTTAAATGAGAAGTTTGTTGTAACATAAAATTATACATTTCTTCAGAAATTTTATTTTTTAAAGTTCGTTGAGGTTTATCTAAATTGAAAAATGATAAAGGTCCGAGCGTAAAACTAAATTTAAACCATTTGCAATTTTAACAACTCCATTTTGTTTAATTTTTTCGTCAACAACCATTAATTCCTCATTATTATTTTTAGGAGATAAAAATTTCTTTAATCGAGATTTTTGAGTCTTATGTAAAATATTTCAACTTTTTAATCAATTAATAAAAATATTTTAACCTTATTTTTGGAAGATTCTTCTTCTTTTGCACAAATTTCATTCCCTAAAGCAATTGTACCACATAGAGTAGAATAAGGACAATTAACGCAACTTCGTGGATTTCGAAGAGGATCTAAAAAAATTTTTTAATAAAATTTTTAAAGAAAAACCTGGAAATGAATCAATTGTAAATTTTGAAAAATGAGTAGCTAATCTATTTCTCATCTGAATAATTCCACGTAATTGAACAGCTTTAGGGTGAATTGGAGCAATTTTATTGTCGCGTCTAAAAAATGTTTTTATTTAAAGAAACATACAATAAAGAACTTACAAATAGAGTAAAAAACCTAAACTGAGCTGCCCATTATTTACCCGTTCAGATAGCATAAGTGAATAAAGCATTACTTGTGTTTGATGTTCTACACAACCAGCTAAAATATAAAATAGTACTTTCATTTTAAAAAAATAAATTACAAGATCCATAAGATCTGCCTGTTTTCAATTCGAGCGGCACAACAAGTTTGGATTGTTTATTAATTGATAGAGGTGATTGATTTGAATCTGAACAAGATGAAGTATTCCCGCCACCCTAAAACACATAAACTAGATTAATGAAGAGAAAAATGAGGAGAAGAAAGAAATAATGGAAGAGAATAAAATATTAATCGGACCAGGACCGAGAAAATCTGATCAAGACGAGATCTCTGAACAAATTTCGGTTATCGAATCTCGAAATTTTCTGATACAGACCCAGCCTCATAGTCCTATCTCTAAAAAATAAAATCAGATAAAAAAATTCCATACCATAAAAGAAACATCAATTCTTCCTTTAAATCCAATAGTTGGTGTCCAAATATTTTCTTCAATATCAACCGTTTCTGAATAGAAAAAAGGCTCATTAGGTAAATTCGGATCATTATTTTCATCATTTTCAATATTTTGTTGGCGTATTTGAGCGATTGGTTGATTATTTTTCTTTTCGTTTTTATAGTGTGGATGATGTGACTAAAAACTAGAATAAAATAAAAAAAATTTAAAAACCTTAATCCAATCAGAAATATTCTCCAAATAACGACGAAGTTCTTCTTCAAATTTTTCAATGGAACAATCCATTCCAATAAGATCAGGACAAATTTTCGTCAATAAATGTTTTCTATAAAAGTTAAAAAGCCAATCACTTGAAAGTTCTGAAGGAAGTAAATCTAGCGCTATCTAAAAATAAATTTTAAAAGAATTACAAAATATCCATTAAAAAGAACCTGAAAAAGTTCGTGAGCAATCGTTCCAACAGTCATCGCAATTGTTGTATCTGTACTTCTAAATCGATCTTGGAACATAGCTTTTCTTGGACAATAATGTGCTTGCGATAATTGCGTGCTGGAAATGAGTGTCTCCGGTTCAACTATAAGTAATCCACCACAAGAATCATCGGAAGAATCACAAATCTCGAATGTCTAAATGAAAAAAATAAAAAAATTAAATAAAAACAAACACTTTCATTAATTTTGTTTGGCTCAATTAATCGTAGAAGTTGACGGGTACAAAGCTCTTGAGTTTCAACAGCCCAGGAATCACGAAGAAAAACATTAATTTTGCGCATTTTAGAAGAAACAGACCCAGTTGCCAATTCACATTTTAAATTAATAAATGGTTTTCCAAGCCCGTCAGCTCCTAAAAATTTGTTCGAAAATTAATTAAAAGTATAAAACAAACCCTTATTTACACCAAGAACATAAACAAGTAAATGACTGTTATTGTTTTGTAGAGAAGGAAATCCTTTCACACCAGATTCAAATTCAACTAATTTTTGATGTTGACGGCGTTTGAATAGACGTGACTTCTTAGTTGGTGGTGATAAATTAGATGATGATGAGAAAGAAGAACAAGAATGAATTGAAGATGGGGAGGAAACACTTGAAAAAATTATTTAAATTTAATAGAAAATTTGGTAAATGGATTGTTTACTGGTCCCCGGAAAAAATTACATTCAAGTCAGAATAGCCTATCGTAAATTTGAATTTTTACTCCCAAATTTGACAAGTCCAATTCGGATCAGGGATTCGAGATAAAGAAACTGAACTCAGATTCGGGTGAGACAAAAAAGTACATATTGCTTTCATTTTTGGGAAATTAAACCCAACATTTTTCAAAAATTTATTTAAAAAACCTGGCTATGGGTTTTTCACATGTTGGACTAATAGAACATTCATTAGAATTACTATTATTTTCATTAGGTTTTAGCCATTTAAAAAGTTGTTGTTGTACACCAATTTTTGGTCGTTTAATTAAATTAATTGGAGATTGTTTTTGTTTAAGAATATCAATTCCTTGCCAAAATTCATCAAAAGAATCGTTTTTGTTATTCATTTGTATATTAGTAAAAACAGGAAGATAGTAAAAAATCTAAAAGAAAAAATAAAACAAAATCAAAAATATAATACCGAAGAGTGTAGTTCAGGTTTGGCGTTGATAGGTTTCAGAGTGCGAACCAAAATTTTGAAAACCCCACGAAATTTTTGAAAATAAGCGACAAAATACATGAATCTAAAAAAGAATAAGTGACAATTGAGCAACAACCAATTGGGTAGTGCGACAATTGGACAACAACAAAGGGTAATGCGACAATTGGACAACAACAAAGGGTAATGCGACAATTAGACAATAAGAAAAATGGGCAATGGACAATTGTGGAGGAATATTGCCTATCTGCCCAATAGTCGTTCTCTTAATTATGATAAGGGAATCACCCCAAAATATCACCACCCTCCTATGATCCATGCCCCTCGGATCAATTCACAACTTTCTAGAGATGTAAAAAACAAGGGGTGAAAAAAAAAAGAAATTTAGTGTTCAGACGAAGCAGCCGCCTTTTTTAAATAAAATAAAAAATAAATACAGAGTAAATAATATCCCCTCTACAACTTACGTCATGAAAGAGATTTTGTTAAAAAGTTAAATAATAAAGGTAATTGAAGTAGTGAATGCTAACTACATACGAACACGAGAAAAATTTAAAAAAAAATAAAAAAAAGATAAATTATTTTATACTTGAAAAAAAAGTTAATTTTTAACTTGAAGATTAAACACACACGTACACACTTTATTTTTGCTTTTATTAAATAAAAACATTAAATAACTAATTTCGATTAAAATTTTTTTAACACAAATGCAAAATGCAAATGACCCAGCTGGGTCCAGAATTTGAATCTGTAATTGTTGCTACAATTATGTTTTTGGCGGGTGGGGCACTTAGGTTAATTTTAAAAATTATTCTGGATCTGTAAATTTCTTTCCAGTTTCTTTTGTTGTTTTTGTATTACACATGGTTATCTTTGGCATAAAAGAAGGATTTATAGGAGGAGATTAAAGAATGAATGGAGTGAAGGTAAATAATAAGGATTAGAGATCGGAAATCTTAAAAACCTTGACCTTGATTTTGGATGAGGACCTTGACCTTAAGTCAAGGAAAAATTAAGGAACACCGAAAAATTCCTTGATATTGACTCTGGATCCAGGAGAAATCAAGGTCTGGGACCGATCTCCAATAAGGATATTAAATACCATTTTTATTTACCTCTTTTTCTTAAAAGGTACTGAATCTACTGGGGGTAGTACCGTTGATATATTAACTCAACAATATCCCCAAAGAGGTGCTTTACGTAAACAAACATCTCTTGATCAACAAAGCCAAGTAAAAATTAATTTAAAAAAAATTATACAGGGTGTTTCAACTAAGAAATACTATTTGAAAACTCAATAACTTTTTGCAAAGTTGTCAGATTTTAAAGATATTTGGTATTTTATATCTATATTTTATAGCATTTTTTTTGACATAAAAATTATGTCTAAATTCGAAACCTACCCCGAGATAATTCTGTACTCTACCGTTCTGTTTTTCCCTTTTTCCGCACATGCATTCTTACTTCCTTTTGTTTTTTTTTGAGCAGCGATAGACACTAGAGTAAACACTAGGCGATAGACACTACATTTTCAATACAGTATCCACTCTTCGTCATACGCAGGAAAATAAATGAAGTAAGATAGCATGCAATGCAAAGAGGGAAAAAAGAGAACGGTAGAGTACGAAATTGAAACGAAATTGAAATACAGGGTTAGGGGGGGGGGTTAGGGTTCGAATTTCGAAAAAATTTTTATGTCAAAAAAAATGCTAGAAAATATAGATATAAAATACCAAATTTCATTAAAATCTGTCAACGCAGAAAAAAGTTATGGATTTTTCAAATAGTATTTCTTATGTTAGTTGAAACACCCTGTACAATTAATTTTTAGTTAAAACGGGTAGTTGTTGTTGATGAAAATGGAAGACATAATCAGGCAAATGGAAAGAATATAAAACAACAACAACAAAGAAGACATACAAATGGTTATTAAAAAATATTTTCTTAATTATTAAAATATTTTCTTTAAAGTTGTTTTTGAATGTGGAAGCAGTATAAGCACTGAAGAGACAAACAGTTCCTGAATTTAAATATTTTAACGGGGTTTTTCTAGACTTTCTAATTAAATATTTTAATGAAAAATCATTAAGAATAATTATTATTTTATTTAAAAGGATACTAGGACATTTCACAAAAAATAGTTCACACATTGCAAGGGCGTTGTCAGGGTGAGGGACTGAAGCCCCAGCCGAAATGGGGGAAAGGGGGCAGAAATTAGGAGGGGGATGATCAAAAAATTGAATTTTTTTCGCCTACAACCTCCATTCCTGGTGAACTGTCCTGACACGATTTTAAAAACTTCACAAACCTCAAACTTTTGTTGAAAAATTTAAAAAAATCAGCGAGTTCTCCAATTTATTCTTGCCGGCAAACTTAATAGATATCCACGATCATAAATATAAATACGTCTAAAAAATTTTAAATAAAAATATTTAATTAAAATCAAACCTGTCAAAAGGATTATAATTAATATAATTAGAATTTCCATAAAGATTCTTCCAATTTATTTTTGGTTCAAAATATTTATTTCTGTAAAAATCAAATGCTGCAGATATTTCAGTTGCCGGTATTGACGAACTTTTAATTAAATAAAGAACTCCACAAAGTACAAAACCTTTAATATAAAAATTAAGTATAGTTTTATAGGTGAGAGAGTAGCCGGTACTACTCCTCCCCCAACCCTACAACTTTTCCAGAGGCCCTGATTAGTACTGGCGTGCCCCACCTCTTTTTCCCATAATAGTTTGACTTAATCCCTTCCTAGATTCCAAATTATTTGACTGTGGCATGTTAAAATGAGAGATTTAGGAAGTCTGGGTACAAATCAAGGAAAAATGAAAGGACAAAAATCGGTATTATCCTTTTAAAATTTATTTACCGTTAGACACTTTCCTGTGATCAATCTAAAAATTATAAAATATTAAATTAAAATTGTTTTATTTTAAATAACCGTAGAAATATTCCAAATCTCATAAACAGTCAAATTGTTAATGTCTAATTTTGCAACGCTCAAATTGTTATTTCCTTTATAATGGAAGAGGACCTTGAAAAAATTTAAAATATATTTTAAAAAATTATCAACAAAGAATAACCCATAGAGCATTTTCATCAACGGCAATATCCATAAAACTTTTAGATTCATTGAACAAATACTAAAAATTAAATTTTTCTAAATTTTATTAAATTAATTTACATCTTCCCCTTTAAATGCCATTCCTTCAGCAATCAATTTTTCTTCATAATGTTTTGTTGTTAGTTCATATTTCGCTAGTAAAGGAGTTCCAGCACGATGAAAATAAAAAGAGCTATTGAATATTAAAGAATTCGTTCCTCGAAATGAATGGGGTAGTTGATGAGTTTGTGAGAGGAATCCACGACGAAGATCAGCTTCTTTAAAAAATATAATTTATTTTTTCCCTTTAAATTCCAAAAATTCAACCTGTGCGAAATTCAGCAAGTGAATCACCCTCAAAATGTGCTGCCAACCAACGCTTTTCCAAATCTGCACCTGTCCGTGGATACGCATCTTTAGATATTAATTTAAATTAGCAGTATCAAAACTAAAAGTAAACCTCTCATCCATGAACCGAAAAATGTGTTTGCATGGGCATGGAATATAGACCTTCCAATTCCATCCAAAAAACAATCTGAAAAACAAAAAAAAAATCAAAAATTATTTCTTTAAAAATAAACTAACGAGCTGTCGCCCCTTGAATATAAGCAGCTTCTGTACTTATCGGCATCCGTTGACGTTCTTCTAGAATTCGGCTTTCAGTTAAATTTGTTGCTGTACATATACGCAAACATGCATCCGTCTCCGTTTCGTTTTCAAGCATCTCAAGAAGAAAATTATTTTAAAATTTTCCTATTTCACTTACCAATTCAACAACTAAAGGCAACAATCTTTCAACAACTTTGGGTAATCCATCATTAAATACACTTCCACCAGTCATATCTCCATAACCTCCAATTGATCCTCGTCCAGGAAGTTGTGGACACTGTTAGATAAATCACACTACTTTTAGGTTGGAAAAACAAAAAATAATTTTAATTTTCACCTGCATTTGCTCAATCCGTGGGCATTCTGTTGGAGATGGACGCAATTCAAATTCTGTGGCGACTGGACAAGTAGGACAGATTGCATCATTGCCAGGTAGACCAACTGGACCTGGAAGTCCTTTAGGTCCGATTTTACCAATCTTAAATTATATTTCAAAATACATTCTAAAAAACTCAAACCTCTCCAATTCGTCCCTCAATTCCTTCAGGTCCAGGTGCTCCAACATCGCCTGGCGGTCCACTCGGTCCAGGGGCTCCTCTACTTTCCCCTGCTTCATCAGAACAATATTTATGAATTTCCAAACATTTTTCAAGCAGTTCATCCATCTATTTAAAAACAAATTCAAGTAGTTTTACTCAGTTACCTGAACGCGTGAAAGTGAATGAAGCCAAATTTGAGATCCATTTCCTATTTTATTTTCACTATTTGGCCCTGTTGGTGATCTTCTTTCTCGTTGTTTCTTTGAAATCTGGAATAAATCTTTTTTATGATTTTCGGACCCGAACAATTTGACAGTGGCAATTAAAAAGAGACAATTAGATACTGGGCGGACAATTGAATATTGGACAATTGAGAATAGGACATATGGACATTTGACAAATGGACAATAGACAATTAGGTAATGGACAATTGGCCAATGGTCAAATGATCAATGAGGAAATTTCTAGAAATAAATTATTACAAAATTATATTTTGAACTATCCAAATTTATCAATTTTTCAACTAATTCACATTCAGCATTTAATCTATTCAAGCGTAAATGTACGTGAAGAGAAGAAATTAAACTAATTAAAAGTAAAAATAATTGCCAAAATATTGAATAACGAATGTTGCTGTATTTGGGTGTTTTTAGTTCAATTTTAGAGGGCATTTTTTAATTTTTAAAGGATTTTTAGTAAATTATTTTTATTAAATTCTTTTACTAAAATATCAAAAATATAGTAAAAATAGAGAAATTTTATTTATTTATTTAATTATTAGTATCAAAGCTGGTCAGCATTTTTCATATGTTTATTTATTTTTCCGCTTTTTAAATATAAAATAACGGGAAAAAAGTAAAAATAATTTTTTAATAAATAAAAGGAAAATCTTAGTTTTATTTTAGTTTTTTTATACTTAACAATTTTAAACTCAGAATAATAAGTGAATTGAAAATGTTCAAAAAAAATTTTAATCTACCTAATTATCTTTTTCTAATCCAAGGCACGATTTTACAGATGGTTTTAATGTTACATAAACCTTAAAAATAATTTTGAAGTTCTCTAGTTGTTTCTAAACTAACCCAGATCCCAAAAAGAGCAGTTAAGGACACAGGAATTGCTAAATATTACAAAAATTAAACTTGGGAAACTTTTAGAATCTTAATAGTTGAAGAAAACGAGAGCTTACCAACAATGCCAGCACTTAAAAAATAATTTAAATTTATCTGGAATTCATTAAAAATCCATCTACCTAACCACACCCATTTGTAATGTAATAACAGTAGCGGCAACAGCCCCAGAAGCTGCCCCTCCCAACCCAAGACCAAAAAGAGGAGAATCACCACAAGCAAGCATTGCTGAAGTACACGTTGTTACCTTTAAATAGGAAATGGTCTTATTATTTTTTGAATTAAGCAATAATTACGAGTGTAGCCAGGAGGCTGAAGCCCCTCCCCGCTGAAAGGGGGAAATGGAAAAATTTTGAGAGGTAACACCTTCAGCCCCCTTCCGAAATTTACCCTCTGGCTACGCCCTTGTAATTTATTACCCTCTTTTCTTCATTAAGACGTTGATAACGTTCCAATTCATGCTAAATTAATTTAAAAAATTAATTTATTTTTAATTATTTTGTTAAACATTAATAGATTCCTGCAATCTTCCCAAATTTTGTATTCTAATATCACCACTATATATTTTTGGACATTTATCATAAATATTTAAAGCCTTAATTCCATTTTTAATATGCGCCTCCAATAATTTTTTCTCCGCCATCATTCTAGATGAACGTGTTGTTCTATCCATAGCTTTACAATAGGCTAATTTGGCATCTAATGCATATTCCACACAGATTAGGTGGAGATTAGAATTTAAAATAGAACGGGGTTCTGGTAATTCTGATGAATCAAATAGACGGGAATATTCCTGTAAAAAATTGTTGAAAAATGAAATTTAGAAATTTCAACAGAGTAAGAGCGAGGTAAAAGTCCTAGCAGGCGATCCTGCGACCTCTTGGCAGGTTTGCTAGAGACTTTTGCCCACCAAGTACAGGTGGTTTACCAATTGAGCTACCGGGGAAATCCACGTCCCATCTTAAACCTCAGTCTAGTAAGTGTTTTAAATTTTAGCCAGCTGGAGTGTTCTCTTACTTACACTAGAAAATCTTTTTCCTATAATTTTTTTTAGAAATTTCTAGTTTTTAGAGATTCTAGAAATCTTTTTACGGTGTGTTCCTAAATTTAAAATCAAAAAAATTTATATTCACCTTAACACACTCAATAAACTTTCTGACAGTAACAGGCTTTCCATTTAATAATTTAGGGCGTATCACACTTGGACTGACCAAAGATTCCACTAATCGCTTAACTTCATCTCGAAATAATTGTTTAATTTCTTTAACTTGTCCTTTAAATCCAGAATTTTGATCGGCTACTTTTGGACCAGGATGAGGCATTAAATCTTTTTTTTTTAAATTATTTAATTTTAAAAATTCAAAAAAAGCTTACAACAATTAACTCCTTGTCCAAAACATTGATTAATATTTTTCCTAACTTCTGTTATTTTTGGATTTAAATTTTCTCTTTTTTCACTAATTGCTTCAGGCAATACTTTAGCCAAAAAACGAGCACCTCCTTCAATTCCATAAATTAATTCATCTTCCAATTTAAAATCTCGAACAATAAATGCTAATGACTAAAAAAAGATTTTTTAATGTTTCTTATACGAAGTCGGAGCTCAATATAAGATACACCCGACACCTCCCAAAAACTGAAACTTTGATTGGCCATAATCCGGCCCAAAGCGGATTTTGCAAGAGACCCGAAGCCGTTTTGCTCTATCGAATGATATGAAAAAAATTATAAAATTCGCACTGACAGTAAACAAGGTTCCTTTGTAAATTTAGGAAACATTTTCAAAATTCGGTTGGGATTTTTCCGAAGGTTCCCTAACAAATAAGATACGCCTTATTATAACCACAAATTTTTCAATCTAAAGGGTGTATCTGTTGAGGCCCGACAGAAAATAAAAATGTAATTATTCATACTTGAAAAGGTTTCCCTAATTCTTTAGCTTCTGTCAATGCCAAACGTCCATAATCAGTAAAAAATGTAAGCATTTGTATTAATTCTTCAGAAATTGTTTCTGATGAATTTAGGCATTGAATCGAGCTATAAAAATATTAATTTAATATTTTTAAGATTTTATTAAACCTTAGCATTGTAGAAAGTGCCAAGATTGCTGGATGTTGTAAATTATTAGTATTATTTAATATTGATGAAGTGAATAAATTATTTGTCGTATTTGTACAACTATTTCCATTAATAACTGATTGGTCAATACATCCTTGGACATCCATCTTAAAATTAAAAATTAATTTATTAAATCAATTTGTATAACAAGAGCGAAGTAATTAAACCCGGCAGGCATTGATCCTGCGACCAGCTGGCACTAAAAAATTCCTTGCTCTTGACTCTGGATCCTAAATCCAGGCTGATATCTACTAAATATAGCACAACCAAAAATTATTTTACGAAATTTACTAAAAGAACAGCATATCGTTCTCCACTAGGTATATCAATAAGTATTGGCTCAGCCCATATCCAAATTCCCGCAGTACACCTTTTTGGCCCAGCTTTATACGTAAAACCCTCAACAATATCTTCATCATTTATCCATTCTTCCAATTCCAAATCTTGCTTCAAAAAAAATATTTTTAAAGCTTTTAAGTAAAAGAAATATTTATTTACATTTTTCTGTGTATATTGCAATTTATACAAATAATCAAGAAAAAAATTTAGTAGGAAGCTTTTTCCCTTTCTGTGAGTGCCAGTAATTGATAATACAACAATCTAAAAATATATTTTCCAAAAAATTGTGAAAATCAAACTTTTCTATTAGCAATTGAAGAATGACCTAATGCGGTATTTAATGCACTTTTGTTTAACTTTAAAACATTTGGATTTGAAGAATTAACAGAAAATAATTGAACAGGCTTTAAATTAGAAAATATTTAAATTTTTAATAGGTGCTAAATTATGGTAATTGGACAAGGAGACTATTGAACTAAGGACAATTAAACTAAGGACAATTGGACCGGGACAGTTGGACTGGGACAATTAGACTAAGTACAGTTGGACAGCAAGGATGGGCTATCTTTCTTTGCCTTCCGCATGCTTTTTAATCTTTCCGCGTTCTGCTTCAGCATTTTTGTTTCCGCATTTTGCCATCTACCGCTTCCGCGTTCCAACTTCCGCTTTTTAAAATGCGTAAGGGCCCATCCCCCTTAGACAGTAAGACAATAACTAGGTATTAAGGATTGGAATGGGGACAATTGGATGATATTAAAATGCTTTCCACGCAAGGATTTTCTGTTTGGCTCGGAGAGGTGATAATCTTCTCTCCTTTCCTCTATTAAATTAATTAAAAATTAAAATAAATTTTCTACCCTAATCCTGCTTCTATTTTCCATTTGAGATATTCTACGTTGTCTAATAGCAGAATAATTCGGTTTAAAAATAAAATGTGGAGTATTATTATTTAAAATAAATAAATTATTATTATCATTAATTAATTTATCTTCCTCTCCTATCAAATGAGTATCTCTTTTTTCCTTCTCAAAATTCCTTCCAATACCTCCACTACTTTGTCCAATTAAATAATTATTTGAATTTTCTTCTTTTTTATTATTTTTTAAATTTATTAAATTAATTAACTGTGAGGAATTATTATTAGAAAAATTAACTTTTATTTCTTCTTTTTTATTTAAACGGGCAGGTGTTGAGTTTCGCAAATTTCTTTTGGTTGTAGGGGCAGGTTTGATTGTTTCGCGTTTTCTCGCTTTTTGTCGAGATATACGGGCAACTGAACTAGCCATTTATTTTTAAATTTTTTGTGGAGGGTTTTAGGGAATTTTAGGGAAATGAGGGAATAAAATGGCATTTTTCTATCAATTTATATACTTTATCGGGGAAAGAACTTAAACTTAAATTTTTCAAAAACTGTCTTGAGCTGTTAATTCAATTTTTGGCATTTTAAAGTTAATATTCAAGTGTTTAATAGCTTATAATATTTAAATTTATCTCCTTTGTTTTTGCTTAAAAAAGTGGAATTGGATCTCAATTTTAAAATTTTCCTAACTTCGTTGACCCTGAATTATTCGTTTCCTTAGGCTACTCCTACAATGACATCCGTGGCATTGAAATGCACGCACGGATGCAAGGATGCGGATACTCGACAGAACATGGAGCATTGTAGGAGAGTTCGCTTGACACTCAACAAAACGTTCAACAAATCGCTTGACACGTGGGGGCGGTGTTATGCATTAAGTCAATTTTAACTAACCAAAATTTGTGCTAATGCTCTTAAAATTGAATTTTATTTGTTTTAAACTCGTTTTCAATTTTTAAAATATTTTTATAAATATCTTATACCCTAAGGTTAAACACTAAGGTCAAACACTTAACAAAAAATTCACCTAAAACTCCAACATTTGGGTAGCATAAAATTTTTGAAGAGGAGGAAACTCAACACCGCGTTTGACGCGCAAAATGAGGAAACTAAAAAAGTGTTTGTTTAAATAAACTATGGGCAGAGGATTTTTAAAAATGATGAAAAAAGAGGTGCAAACATTAAAAACTGGTAAATATTCCAATAAATTTGTTTGGGTATATTAAATTGTTTGTTTTCATTTTTTGGATACTCATTCATTTTTGGGGTTTTTGCCATCATAAAATATTCATTTGAAGCTCTAATGCTTATAATATATAAAATATGTATTTAAATTGGACAGAAATTTATTTTTACTTTTTTAAAGCTTCTCCCAATATTACGGGGAAAATGATAGACATCAGTTCAGTCCGGCACTTATAACGTATGAAGAGGCTGATAATTTTTAATGTTCTTGGTATCCCTTCATGAATTATAGGGTCGGAACTGAACTAAACTTCTCCTTGGGGAGCTTAACAAACATTGAAACAATAATTTTAGGCTTTTAAAAATGAAATTGGATAATGAAAAGAAATCCCTCACTAAATTAAATTAAATGGGAAATGAAAATTAATTTATTAAAGAAAAATGAAGAGCTGAAAAAATCAAAAAGCAACACAATATTTATGTTGCCTTATATTCTGTCAATCCTTATTAAATTAAAAATAAATTAAGGAACTAAACTAGAAAATATATAAAAATATTGCCAAAAAGATGCTAAAGGAAAAGAAGAAAATAGGAAAAAAATTCTTTGGATGAAGAAAGCTTTGGGTAAAAAAAGGATAAAAAAAGTCTCTCTCTCCTTAAGCATAATGAAAAAATTTGTTTTTAACCAATTTTTTCTTTTAATTAAAAAATATTTTTTAATTTTATTTTAAGCCTTTTAATTATTTTTGTCTGTATTTTGCGCATGAATTTTACTAATAAATTTAGAAAAAATGCTTATAAATATTGATTAATTAATAATTTAAAATATAAAACATCTGTAAATACTTAAAAGGAAGAAAATCTCTTTTAAGTCGCTATGACGTTATTTTTATTAAAAGTCAAAAAAAAGTAATAAATTTTTTAAAATGTCTCGGTTTACGAAAATAATTTTTGGATTATTTAATTAATGAGTGAGAATAATTTGAATTATTAAGCTATGCCTTGAAGTGAGAAGCCCAAAATGATGTTTTTACTGGTTCTGTAATTTTCCGTCTAATGCGGCATAGGATTGACGCTCCATTTGAATGCCTTCTCACCCCTCTAATAGAATGTTACCTTACAAATTAGAGGAAGATTGAAAATAGAATGCCCCCTCCAATAAAATGCCCCCCGATTGAATTCCCCCTCGAATAGAATGCCCCCTCTAATAGGACTCCCCTTTGGAAGGCAATTGAAAAAAGAATGCCCGGGCATTTAATTAGATGCTACTATCTTCAGAGCTTAATATAAAATAAAGAAAGTTTTATTTTTCGTGCTTTTTAAAATTTATCTAATAGCATAATGTTTTATATAGCGTTCTCAATCTTTTAAAAATACTTGAAAAACAATAAAAACTTTTTGCCTTTTTTGATTACTTTTCTTTTAAAGATTTTAATTTAAAAAGGAAGGAAGAACTAAATGACCAAAGGCAGCTGGAAATAAAGAAGAAGGAAATTGGCATTGCTTTTGGTTTAGAAGCAAATAAAAATATTTAAAAAGAAATGATAGGGTAAAAAATAGAATAAACTTACATATGTCTGTAATTATTTAATTAAAAATATTTAAATTAATTTTTATTTGCCGTATATTAAAAAGGAAGGAAGAAACTTAATTAATTCCTCTAAAGAATTAATTAATATTCAAGGGAGGAGAATGATTCAAGTCTAAATTTGAACGTGCAGCAGGGTTTTTGAGAAGCGGCGCTCAGTAGAGCATTTGAGGTTAGGGGATTATTGCTTCAACCCAATCCTGGCATGGGGAATTAATCGAGTAAATACGGTTAATTTAATAAATTTTTAATAAATTTATTTAAAATTAAAACAGAAATAGAATTTAAAGCTTTACAATTATTGACTGACTAGGCCAACCAGCCTTTTTTAATCAATAAATCAGCGCATATCCTTTCGCTTGCGCTCTCGAATTCTTCTCATTTTTATTGTCAAGTGGATGAATGGTTTTTGGGAAAGTGGATAAAGCTGTAATTTTGTATGCACGTGTACAGCGAATTTTCTGGAATAATCTGAAGAATATAATCCGGAAAAGTTTTTACAATTTGTAAAATATATTATTAAATTCCGGAAAAGTTTTTACAATTTGTAAAATATATTATTAAATTCCGGAAAAGTTTTTACAATTTGTAAAATATTTTATTAGATTCCGGAAAAGTTTTTACAATTTGTAAAATATATTATTAAATTCCGGAAAAGTTTTTACAATTTGTAAAATATATTATTAAATTCCGGAAAAGTTTTTACAATTTGTAAAATATTTTATTAGATTCCGGAAAAGTTTTTACAATTTGTAAAATATATTATTAAATTCCGGAAAAGTTTTTACAATTTGTAAAATATATTATTAAATTCCGGAAAAGTTTTTACAATTTGTAAAATATTTTATTAGATTCCGGAAAAGTTTTTACAATTTGTAAAATATATTATTAAATTCCGGAAAAGTTTTTACAATTTGTAAAATATATTATTAGATTTTATTAGATTATATTATTATTTAAGTTTATGTGCAGTATTTTTAGAAGGAAAAGTTGCAATTTTAAACAAAGAAATTTTCTTATAAAATATTTAAATTAATTATTTTGAAATAACAAAAAATCCGATAGTTTTGGACTTATCTTTTTTTACTTTTTTGTCTAAAATAAATTTAATTAAATATGCTCTGCTAAAACAAATCCAAAACAAATAAATTTGGTATATTCTTTCAATAATTTTGGCAAAAATCCTTCACATTTGTAGGGATTTTAAATAATTTCTAATTCAAAAAAATTTATTATTTTATTTTTACAAAGTTTAGTAAAGCAAAGCAAGCATTAATTTCTCCTACAGCTAGTGCATAAGGTTAATCATTGCTGGGAGCGAACGAGCATCTTCAATTGACCGGACTGATGTTTATCTATCACACTGCCTCCTGCACAGCATTATGAATTAAATAGGAATTATGTTTTAGTTTCCTCACCTTACCGGACCTCAATATTCGATCATTTTAACTATTCATCTTTCTTCCAGTAAACTTTGGTCAACCACTATAGTTTTTCAAAAATTATTTTCTCCATTTGTACTTTTATTACTTTTTTTCAAATTTTAACTGACCAAAAGTAAAATCAGACTTTTATTGGTATCTTTTTTATATCCTTATATAATAAATGGTCATTAGATTTGGATAGATTACACCTGTTTATTAAGATATATGGTTTCCTTGACTCCCACAAAACATCTCTAATTTTTTTATTTTTTTATAAATTCTTTTTTCCATGCCGCTATAAAAGTGTGAAAATGAGGATATATTTTATTTTTATTCTTGAATAATTCTCGCTTTAATTGATAGATTTTGAAATTTTTAAAAATTAACTAAAGTAAATGTTACGACGAGGAGGCTCTAATAATAAAAAAGTTGATGAAAATATTCTTTTATTACAAAATACTTTAATAGGATCTGATCCTGACTGTGATATTGTAATAAAGGTTGTAGTTAAGGAATATTCTTTAAAATTAAAATAAAGATCCAAATACATTTTTCAGCTATACTGATCCTAATTATCTCACTGTCCTATTGTCCGACTGCTCAACTGTCCCATTACTCAATTGTCACAACTACTTTTTGCTTAAGGGTATCGTATCCTGGGAAATCTTCTGACGGATCCTACATCCGAACCGAAAATTTCTGCATGTCCGACCTTTTTTCGGATCCGGATCTTCGGATACGTCAACCTTATTCTCGTCTCCAAAAATATAAAATCTATTTTTATTTTTTAAAAGTTTATTTTTTAGTGTTCAGGAGTCAGACCAAAACATGCTGTAATAGAATATTCACAAAAGACGTCTACCTTCTGGCTTCGTCAATTAATTCCGTCCTTTAACGAAGAACAAGGAGAACATAAAAGAACCTCACCGGAAAATGAAAATAAAATAGAAGAGGCTGTAAATGGTGAAAAAATCCTTTATGATGGTTAAGGATTTTTTGATATAATATTAAAAAAAAATTTTTTAAAGGTTCTTTAATTGAATTAAGACCTCTAGACAAACTTCGTTTTGGAAATGGGCCTGAATCTGTTGAATTTACTTTTACAATGCCAAAAATAAACGATAAGGGAGGAGAAAAGAGGCAGAAATGCAAAGTTTGAAATTTTAAATTTTTTGAAAAAACATTTTAATATAAAATAAATTTTGTAGCGTTCTAGTAGCAGCATTGGCTATTCTTCTGTAAAGAAAAAAACTTCGTCAGAACACAGCCAATTCTCATTGCCAATTGTTGGGGTTATTTTAAAAAATTTCTTCTTTGAAACTTAATCTTTAGAAACATATTCAACCAAAACCGTATGTCGATAGATTTGCTCGTCCCGTTCAAAGTAACGTTAGGCTATGTCAACTACAACAGCAACAAAATTTAAATAAAAACAAACAAATACAAAATGGGGTAATAAAATATTTAATAAACATTTTTGAAAAGTATTTACGGCACAATTCAGTTCCGACCCTATAACTCATGAAGGGATAGTCACTTCTTCATGTTTTTTCGGCACTTTGTCGATCATAACTTTGTTATCAATCAGTCTAGTGTTTTGATTTTTTGTTAATTTGTAGTATGTTTAATTCACTATCCAATGGTACAAAGAACATTAAAAATTATCCGCCCTTCATAAGTTATAGGGATCGGGACTATACTGAACTGAATTATTTATACCGGAATAATTATAGACAACAACATTACGTCGTAGTGCATCTACTTCAAGAATAATTGCAATTAATAGCAGAAATAGTAATAGTACAGAAGGTGGAAATGGTAAAGAGGAACTTATAGTTAATTAACAAAAAGAATTTTTGATAGATACTGACATTAAAGGCATTGAAACAACACCAGAAAGAGAAAATAAAATAAAAGTAGAACAAAATTTACAAGAGGTTTTTATTTTATTTTTGATTCGAATTAAAAATTTAAGACTCAAAATCAATCGGAAAAACAAGAAAATGAAATACTACAAAATAATTCAATAAAAGAAGCATTAATAAATCAAGAAAATATCAGAAATTCAATTGATAATGAAGAAGAGGAAGAAATAAATTCAGAAAATAATACAATAAAAAATAATCGATTTGAGGATTCAGAAAATTCATTTCAAGTATTTATTTAATTTATTTGGTTCCCCTCTCCGTCAATTTGATTCCCTCTCAGGAAATCATTTCCCCATTAGTGGTTTCCCCCTCACTCAGTCGAGCTCAGTTAGTAAAAGACCAATAAGACTCATGAGTCGAATGGCATTAGAATAGGTTCGTTGCTAGTTTCCTATCCCGTACCATTCATACCCGATTCTGACAAAAGATTGACTGACACGAGGGGGAAACCAAATAAGTGCCTTCTTAATTAATTTAAATTTATTTTTTAAAGGAGGCATTAGCTAGAGCACATGAAGAAAATGAAAGGCTTAGAGAAGAATTACTCAAAAATGATTTTGGTAATAACAAAAAGAAAGGGAAGAAAAAAGTTTTTTCTTCTGTAAATGAAATTGTTTTTGAAACTTTTTTTAAAGTTTGTAATGAAGAAATGGAAATTTTAAATAGAAGGTTTTTAAAAATTATTTATAAATTAAAAAATATTTTTTAAATATTTTTAGACTTGTAAATATGTCTGTACGAGATTATTCTGATATATTTGCAGAAATAAATAAAATATTGCACGAACCTTTTAGTTTTCGATTAATGGAGGTTTTTTTAATTTTTAAAGTTTTTATTAATTTATTTTTTAAAAGATTAATAGTAAATGTTCCGTTTTGTTTGAATCATTAAAATTAGAATCTACAGAAAAAGAAGAATTGTATATTCAACTTGATCGTTTTCTCAAGGAAAAGATTTATCCAATTTCAAAAGCTGTTGACTCCTTTTTGGGAACATTGAGGGAAAGTGCTCTTATTGCTAAAGAATCTGCACGGTTAAAAATTGAAAATAAATTTTAATAAATATTTTATAATTCTAGTGCTTGCACTGTGTTTTCACAATGGAGTAGAGAATTTGGAGATCAACTTCAATTGCATCCAGATTGGAATTTAATGATTTATAAAATTAGAGATTTACAGAATAGGTAAAAGATTTGTTAGGTTCTGACAAATTTGTTAAAAAATTTAGATTTAGAGAGCATGGTCTTCCAAGGCATTGGTTACCTCCTTCGTTAATGCCTTTACTCGAAGTTCTTATATTTGAGAGAAAAAACTGGGCTGATGAAGGACAGAAAAAGGAACATGAATTGATGGAATCATTGAAAGAAGCTAATGAAAAAATTAAAAGATTAGAGGCAGAATTGGAGAAAAGAACATTAGATTACCCACAAAATTTAGCAGGTTATTATTAAAGTCTATTTAATTCTAATTTAATTATAAATAAGATCCACTACAAAAAATAAATAGAATAATTCAAAAAGATTCAAAAGAGCGTGCTAATTCTATTCCACTTATTCGATTACCTGTTTCGAATGATTCATCATCTCCTACAAAAAATAGCGACGAGTTTAATTTACCTTTAGGACAAAGAAGTCCTCGAGGAGAGAAAAAACATCAATCGCCAAGGAGCCCCCGAAAGCCTCTCGTCAGTCCTCGAACACCTAGAAGTGCTAGAAGTTCGCGTGGATCTTTTAGGTTGGCATCTGGTGCTTCAGAAGGTTATTTTACAAAATGTCAAATTTAGATTTAATTTTTAGAATATGAATCATCACAGCAACATTCCCCCCATCAAGAAGCACATGTAGATTCTCCACATACTCCGCCGCCTTCCTATCGTGTTCGATCAGTTTTGGGCGCTAGACCTTTGCCAGCTCTTGAATTAAGAGCCTTAGTGGAAGCTGCTAAAGTTGCAAAAGAGAATCAGGATAACGAAGATGAACTTCCTTGGGGTGATAAAATACCAGAACAAATAGAGGAAGAAGAGAAAAAATCTGAGAGGAATATGGAAGAAACAATTGATGAGGATGATATAGAAAATCAAGAAGTTACAAAAATAGACTTGTCAGTACCAGTCGAAGAAACACCCAATGGTGAGAATGAAATGATGGAAATACCCAGAGAAAGCCCAAATAAAAATACTGGTAAGGGTTGTCTATTTTTAGTGGAAAAGCTTAAGAGCTCTAGTGGCAGTTACTTTAGGCGAAACAATATACTTTAACTTATAGACCTCCTTCCCCACGTACACTCTACTAGTTTCCAATTTTCTTTTTATTTATTAAAAATTCAATTTAGAGAATGGTGATGACCATAACGAAATGTTTGAAAATGGAAATGGAACCCTTTTGGAATCTGATAAGGTTTTTACTGAATTAAATGATGAGAATTGTTTTTTTTTATTTTTTTTTAATTTAGTCAACTTTTTTGAAAGATTCTACTAAAATATTGTCAGAAAATGATTTGGAAAATAAAAGTGACGAACATAATGATCAAGAAGAATTTGAAAAAATTGAAAAAGAAATACTATTCCAAACAAAAGATGAAAACAATATTTTAAATAAAACAAAGCAAGATAATAAAAAGGAATCTTCAGTTTTAATTCCATCAAAGGCTACGCGTTATAAAACTTTTGAGGTTTATTTTAAAAATATTTACAAGGGACTATCGCGAACTATAACCAAGAAATTTTCGATGTAGCACATACCATTGCGTAGAGCAAGCTTGGTTTACTATTGCAATTTCTTTGCTCCAAAAGTTTTAGGATTTTAAGTCCTACAACTTTTTAATTTCAGGGTCAGGGCCAAAAAATCAAAAAGTTGACAAAAGTAAACCAATCTAGCTCTACACAATGGTGTGAGGTGTTATGCACAAATTCTTTGTTATTTATTTTGAGTTAAAACTTTAAAATAGCGTCTTTAAATGTGTGTTATTCTCAGTTTCCTTTTTTATTTTTTAAATTTCTTTAATTTTTAAAGTTTTGGGGATTTGCTCACAGTCTGGCTAATATTTTAAATATGGAACTACCAACACGAGAGGCAATCAATTATAAATTTTATAATTCATTATCGAGGCCTCAAAGTGCCGACGAATTTGATGCTCGTCTGAAAGCCGTTGATTCTATACAAGAAAAGTAAGAATTGTGTTAAAATAAAATTTTAATTTGAAATTTTTAAGGCTTAAATTAGTGATGAACGAAGTGAAAAAAAGTTCAAAATGAAAATGGGACAAGTTAAATAAAGTGATAATTACTAGAGTTATATTATTGCAATTCAAATATTTATGATTTTTTGTTACATTGTGTATAATTCATTGAAAATTTAATTTTCCACCCAAAACAAAGTCCTAAGTATAATATTTGTTAAACAGTCAAAAAAAGCTCAAACAACTATTTAAAATAACATGCCAGACTAACTAGACAATATACCTATGCAATGAATTAAAATTAAAAATTTTGTGAAGATGTAAGTTTTCACATATTTCATTTATTTTTGCATTATTTTCATTCAGTTTAATAACTTCAATTTCTTATTTTTTATTTATATAATTCATTAATTTTTGCTTTATTTTCCATGAAAGTAGAAACTTCAATTTTTTATTTTTACTTAATTTATAAATTTTTGTGGCATATTCATATAAAGTAATAATTCTGGCCATCATTTTTGCAGAAAAACGGACGTCACTACTTCTTGTTTTACTTTCAAAAAAATTGAACCAAATTTTTCTTGAAAACAAATTTAACTTAAAATGTTATTAAGACGAATAAAAAGTTGGAAATTAAAGAAGAGAAAGAAACGTTAAAAAATATTGAAAGAATTAATTGAAAAATTTATTATGAAATTATACCAAGTGGAAGAAGAAAAATTTAAAGAAAGATGGAAAAGAATTGAAAGAAGTAAAAACAGAAAAAGTGTGAAGTGAGTTATCTAAATTCGTGTGAAGTGAGTTTTCTAAATTTTAATTTTAAATTACCCTTAACTTTTAAATCTAGGTTATATTGGTGTCAACAGATGGAAGCAAATAAGAATTAAAAATATTACAGAAAACAAAAAAGATACTGTCCAGAAACTTTGGAGAAATTTCAAGACATGTTACAGTTAAAATTCGTGTGAAGTGAGTTTAAATATAAAAAATATTAAACATAGAAAATAAATTTGTGGCATGCGTGAGAAATAATAAGGATTTCTCTTTAACCTTCTATTTAAATTACTCTTCTTTAAATTCAAGTCCAAGTACACAAATTCCAATTCAATATTTATTTAATAAAAAGGGGCAATACAATTCCAACAATAAATTAAACTAATATTTGAGTAAAAAAATTATTTTCGAATCCAAAATTTAATTTTTAAGGAAACAAAGCGTAGCGGAAAAAAACCGAATATGCGACAGAAAGATATAAAGTAATGAAAGAAATCTGTTCTGAATGGGAAAAATACTATTGGAAGGTAGCAAATGTGAAAATGATCTTATCTGCACTAAATATCCACAACGATCATTGGATTTTAATTGCAGCATCAATAGAAAAAAAAGAAATTGTATTATACGACTCCTTAAACAGAGGAAGTATAAGTATTGAAAAAATAAATTTGATGAATGAATTTTTGTAAGTTATGAATAATATACAATATTAGCATACTTGGCAATACTTGGTTTTCTCCTCCTTTTTTGCTTTCTATCTATGTCAAATTACTTAAATACCATTCGATAGAGCTCTTAGAACTGAGTCGAACAGCACTAAAATCAATGAAATCTAAAAAAATCTACAGTATAAAAAGTTTAACGAGCTCGAAGAGCTCTTTCGAATATATAATAAATTATAGTATATCATTAAAAGGATCTAAATGCTGAAAGAAGCAAGAAAACAAAGGAGACATAAACCGAAGTATTACCGATTATTTTATGCTTTTACGTTCTTAAGTTCACGATAGGGAAAACGAGAAAAACTTCTGTGTGAAAAACTTGTAATAATTGTATGTATAATAAGTAAACAAAAGTTTTGAAAGTTAAAAAGAATAAATAATTCGGTAATTCCAAGGCTGGCCCCCCTTTTTTCTTTCTATTTTTTTCGATTTTTTAAACTCTTTATGCCAAATTATATATCGTTCGAAAGAGCTCTTCAAGCTGAGTTGAACGGTACTAAATTCATCGAAATCCGACTTAAATAAACATAGTTATGACCATTTGTTTTAATACCTTTCAACATCACAAAAAGCATGTCCATCGAGGATTTAGCTTCATAATTCTGCTCAAAATCTCCAAATCGAACCTCATTCTACTCAGCTCGAAAGCTCTTTCGAATGATATATTGTAAATTATATGTCAAGCAAAAAAGGTCAAAATGGTCAGACGAACAGAAAAAAGGGGGGCCAGCCTTGGAATTACCAATAATTCAAAAGAATAATTAAATAAAAAATATGAAAAGAATAACGTATAGACAGAAAATAATGATTTTAAATTATACGTTTATAAAGGGACATGATCTTTGCCATTTTTGAACAAGTAAAAATGCAAAATGTTGGATTTAAGGGAGAGTGGAAGGTGCAAGAGAAAATAGATGTGCCTCAACAACCAAACTCGGACGATTGTGGCGTCTATGTTTTGTTGTTCGCTAAATTTTTATTAGAAGGAAAGAAAACAAAATTTGAACATGAAATGGTAAAATATTATAGAAAAAAGGTTTGTCAGGACTTAATAAAAACAGAATAAATATATAATTTATTGGATTATAGAGAAAGATTTGGATTATAGAGAAAGATATATTCTTTAAATCTATGCCTTAACTACTCAAAAATTAAGGGCCTAACTTGACAACGCGGAAAATAAAATTCTAAAATTCTTGGAAAATAATAAGAGGAAAAATTTTAAAAATAAAGAATTGATGGATTCAGATGCAACTGAAATTTTTAAAACCCTAACAAAGACAAGCAAAACTGATAAAAATACAAATAATGACCGTAAAATTAGGGAAAAATCATGAAGTTCAGTTGAAATAATAGAAATTGTTAAAACAAAAGAAGAAATAAAAGAAAATGAAAACGAGACGGATAAAGCAAAAGACAAAAAAATAAAAATCCAGAAGAAAATTAATTGAAAAAAATAAAAATACAGAAGTAAAATTGATTGAAAAAAATGAAAATCCAGAAGTAAAATTAATCGAAAAAGATTCTGCCACCCGGAGAAGAAAAATTGCCTTCAAGCTATTTTAAAGCCGATTTTTGGGAGCTTTTACTTGAAAATAAAAATTCATGGACTGAAAATGAGTGGGTCAAGGTAGAAAATATTTGGGTTATGTCCGGTAAATTAAAGGAAGCAAACAAATATTGAAAGCTATTTCAAATTTCTATCTGATCGAAAATAAATTCCTGAGTGAAAATAAATTCTACAAAAGACCAAAAAACATATATATTTAACTTTTAAATTAAATTTTTTTAAACTAGCATATGTAAAAATAGATGGGTGGAAGAAAATAAGGCTTGAACGCATTTCTCGCGATGTAAAATTTAAAAAATGAAATTAAAATTTAGAAAATAGTTGTTCAAGATTTTGATGATTTCGCACCGATGCCAATTGTGAAAATAGAGAAAAAATGGAAACAGCAAAGCCAATTTTAGAAGCTAAGAAATAATGGAAAAATCAGAGCCAATGCCAATCAAGAAAATTGAAAAAGATGAAAAAATTAGCTAATGAGCCAATACCGAATTTATATATGAAAAAAATAGAAAAAAGGGTAAAAAATTAATATTTAAACATTGAACAAAAATGTAAAAAATTTTGAAAAACGCAAAAAACATTAAAAAACTGAAACAATGAATAATAAGGAAACTGAAAAATTAAAAAACATCCAAAAAAAGGAAAATGTGAAAAAACAGAAAATAAATAAAAACAAATTTTCAGATAATACAATTAAGTGATGATGATGATTTGCAAGAAGAAAATTAAACTGGATCAAAATAAAAAAAATAAAGATTAAATGAACCTGAACAAGGTTGGACTTGAAATGCTAAATTTATTGGAGACGGTGTTTAATTTAATAAAATTACATGGTGGATTTACGTCTCCCCCCCCCCCTCCCGAAATGGTGAAAAGGAAAAAATTTGAGGAAGGGTTTGGGCAAAAAAGTAAATTTTTTGGTCTACGGCCTTCGAAATTTAAAAAATTTTCGCCTGCGGCGCTGAAAATACAAGAAATCTGGCTCCAAAAAAAGGAAAATGGGGGAAAAATAAATAAATAAAAACACAATTTTTCAGATATTACAATTAAATGACGATGATGATTTTCACTGAAAAAAATCAAATTGGATCAAAATAAAAAAGAAGAAAATAAGGATGAAATTAACCTGAACATGGCAGGAATTGAAATGCTAAATTTATTAGAGACTGTTTAAACTGATAAAATTACATATGGTGGATTTACACCTAGAAAAAAACGTTTGGTCACACTTCGATTTTTTACAAAAAGCCTTAATGGGTTTTTGTAAAAAAGTGATGAAGAATGAACCATTTGAAAATAAAGAAGAGAAAGATGTTTAAAAAATTGAGAAAATTAATTATGAAAGTGTACCAAACGTGGAAGAAAATTTAAAAGATGAAAAATTTACAGAAGAAAAAAATGTAGAAGACGACGACAACGAACGACAATTGAAGAAATTTTGGTAAAAAATAAAAAGGAAATGCTGAAAATTATTTCAACCGATTTTTGAAAATGAAGATGAACTTCGACGTCCAGCAGCAGACAAACGGTTATGACTACGGCGTCTTCACGCTTTGGTTCGCCAAAATGATATTAGAATATAATAAAATTAATTTTAAAGAAGAAAAGAACGAAGATTTTAGAATAAAGATATGGGTAGAAGGGAAGAATCACTCACAATTGATGGCCTCCTTACCCTAAAAACCGGACAATGGTTATCAGAAGATGTCATGGACAGTTACTTGCAATATTTATGCACCAAAACTACTTATCTTGCGAAGCGTATTCCAACATTCGCAATAGGAAGCAAAAATATTTACTCGGAATGGTCCCAACACTACCTAAACGGAACCACTGGATGCTGGCAACAGCAAAAATTGGCGAGAAACAATTAATATTGACTGATTCACTGAACAAAAGAACTAGTATTGAGAAATTAAATATGATGGAAGGAGTATTGTAAGTTTTTGAATAAAAGTCAAGTCTCCCCTCCCCCAATTAGACATGATCTTCGAAATCTATGCACAATTGAATATGAGAAATATTTTTGGAGAGAAAGAAGAATGGAAAATGGAAGCATTAGGTGATGTGGATGCAAAAGAAATGGAATTCCGAAGAATTAACGGTATAATTTTAAACTTAATCCTCCAAACAAATTATTTTTAAGAAAATGAAGCTTCAGGATTCGTTCAATGGTGCAAAAGGTTTTTAAATTTTTAATATTTTTAAGAATGAGAGGTTAAATAATAATAATTTAAATTAAAGATGCAATATTTTGAAACGTTAAAAAATGTTGAAAAATTTGAATGGAAAACAAATTATGAAATTAAACCAAAAGTGGAAGAAAATTTTAAGGAAGAAAAATTGAAAGAAGAAAAAAATGTAAAAGAAGTAAAATTAGAAAAAGTAAAAGTAGATGAAGAGAAAATTAAAAACAGAGGAAAACAATTGAAAAAACGGCGGTAAAAATTAAAATTTTGAAGTCAGACCTCATTAGAACATACATTTTCAGAATCGTCCCCTAAATTTTCTAACTTAAATTTTGCAAGTACGAAATTTCTGACCGATGAGTAAAACACCGGATTTTTTTCATGATTTTTCAAAAAAATTTTTATCAATTTTTGTGCTAAAATTTTTTGAACATTAATAGCTAATGAGGTCCAATTAAATAATTTTAAATAAAAATGAAAAAATTTAAATTTAAGTTGCGCTACTTTGAAAAGTTTACAAAATTAGCAAGAAACAAAAGAAGGAAATTTTTAAACCCCAAAATCAAACAACTTTTCAGAGAATTTTTACCTGAAAGTAAAGAATATATGAGTAAAGAAGAATTGAGCAAAAAATTGAATTTCTGGAATAGAATTGAAGAGAATCAAGAATTGAAAAGTGGAGAATTAGACCGATGGGTGAAAGTGAGTTTCAAATAATTAGAGGGTAATTAAATGTATGGGTTGGGGACATAAGCACATGAGATCTAAATTCTTAAGGGCGTAACATTATACGAAAATTTTTTGAATTTTGGGGCTCAGAAGCCAGATTTCTTCCCCCGAAGATTTTTAGAATTTTAGAAATTTTAAAATTTTAGAGGTTTTATTTTTCCATTTAAGGAGATGGGGCTTCAGCCCCCTCTGGCTACGCCCTAGATTCTTTTTTTGGAAAAATAGAAAATTATTTATTGAAGGGAAAAGAGGGCAAGTTGACGTTTCGTGACCTGACAACTTTGGAACCAAAATCTTGGCTCAGTGATGAAGTGCTCGACTGCTATTTAGAATTTCTTTGTCAAAAACACTACTATGATGGCAAAAAATATAGGAACTTATGCTATTCAACATTACAAAAGTGCAAGAGAATATAGAAGTGCCTCAACAACCAAACTCGAAAGATTGTGGCATCTATATTTTGCTACGGTTCGCCAAAAAACCATAGCAAATTGCTTTGGTTCGCCAAAAAAATGACGATATTTTCGGTGATATTTCCTGTAATTTTGTTTTTTAGAATTTATTTTGGAATTACCTATATTATCTGGATATTTATTGTTAGTATATTAATTTGTTATTTTACTAATTGGATATTTTATATTGAATTTTCCTTGGTTCTTAAATATTTTTAATTATGGAATCTTGCACAAACAAAATTGAATTTCATGTTGAAGTTGAAGGAACGAACTTTTCACGTCATGAAATTGTTAAAATTAATCGAAAAGTTATAATGTCAAATCTGGTGGACTACATACTAATAAACATGAAGTTACACTATGCCATCGATGGAGCAAAAGGTCAATTTAAAATACTATGAGAGATGGAATGGGGGGACATTTGTTTCAACCACAGGGCGTGACCAGGGGGTATATTTCAGGGAGGGATAAAAGGGGATGTGCGCCAAAATTTTGATGTTTACTATGGCCTTCCTAATTTTTAGAACCATATTTCTGTTTTAAGCGCCGCAGTCGAAAATTTTTTGAAATTTAGAAGGCCGTAGGCTAAAAAATTCACTTTTTTGCCCAATCCCTTTTCCCCATTTCGGGGGACTCATAATTAAATTAACTTTAACTTTTCAATTTAGCCTGTTATTGTTGACAAATTGAAAAGAATAAAGATTGAAAATATCGCAGAAAAGAGTGAAACTGTACAAAATGTTTTCGGAAAATTTTTAAAACACATAAGAAGTAAAATAGTACTAAAGTGAGTTAAAAAAAATTTTTAAAACAGAAAAAAACTAGTGCTTGAGGATTTTTACTAGGTCGTTTCACAAAAAAGTTCGTTTTACAGAAATGGTTATAGAACTTTATGTAGATGTCCAAAAGCTTTGAAATTTTGCGTATTTTATTCATTCGAGGGTTTCCTAATAGACCCCAAAATTTTAGAAATTTTACTTCAGCATTCAGGGAGTTCTAATCTCGTAAAAAGTTGTTGTCAACCTATACATATCCCCCCAAAAGTGTTTTTTCTAAGTTTGCGTAAAATCATCCGATCTGGATAATCTAAACGGTTTTGTACATAAAATATAGGATTAAATACGAAGAATAATGTGTTTAACCCGGAATTCGACATTTCTAAAAATTACAATTACATGTGCCTGAAAGGGCTCGAACTCCGATCGTTTTCAGATTCTCGTTGTTTTCGATCATAACTCCCTGAATACGGAACCAAAAATTCTCAGATTTTGGGATATATTATGAAACATTCGAATGAATAAATACGCAAAAGTTTAAAGCTTTTGAACATCTACAAAAAAATTCTATACCCATTTTTGTAAAACGAACCTTTTTATTAAACGACCTAGTATTTGAAAAATCAAAGAAACTAGAATTTAAGTGATAAAATTGATAATAAAGATAAATATTTTAAAGGACAATTGAACAAGCTGTAGTAAAAATGGCAAGGAAGGATATGAAGGATCGAATGCTGACACAAGATGTGAATTTAACGATCTTATTAAAGTTAATTTAAAATTTTTAATTAGATGTGAGAACTTCAGACGAGTTTACAGAACAAGCAGATAATCAAACAATTTTAAACGTGGCAAAAAATGTGGAAAAGAGGGTAATAAAATATTTAAATAATAAGACATTTTCATAAAAATTAAAAAATTACATAGATAGGAACCGGTTATGCGAAAGTTTGGCTCAATTTTTTAGTTCTAAAATTTGGTATAATGTTATGATTCCAAAAGCTTGAAATACGAATCCCCAAAAGCTGTCCGGCCGTTTTGGCGCCGGCCATTAGGGAAAGTTGCCCAATGTTCGGCAAACTCCCCAATGTTCGGAACAACTTCCTCAATGTTCGGTATGGGTCCAGAAAGTCATAGACAAATAAAAATTGGATTATTAATTATTTTGTTATCAAATTCTTCTTAGTAAATTTTACTTAAAATTTTGATTAAAAAATTAAAATTAAAGATGGACACAACCACAAAAATTATTGCTCTCTACGTAATTGTTGAAGGCCCGAACCATTATCGAGCTAGAACAGCTGTAAAAATTAAAATTTTGAAGTCGGATTTACTATTGTGACTCAAATACTTTTGGATTTTTTTGTTAAATTTTTTGTTTAATTTTAAATTTAATTTTTCATTGGCTTGAGTGAATTTTTTTAACTTTTTGAAGCCTTCAGTGTATCGAGGATTAAGCTTCTTTGTTTTGTTCAGAATCATCAAATCTAACCGATCTTGGTATCATTCGAGCCATCCTCAATGAGTTTGTTCAAATGAGATTTGATAAGCAAAAGAGCTCGAAATGATCAGCGAAATAGGAAATAGGGGGAGTAAACCGAAGCATTACTGACTGGTGTGAGATTTTCTAGTTTCTAATGGAATTACAAATCTCAAAGATGAATAGCACTAACCTGTCCTTTCCTAATAAATCGTAAAAGAAACTGTACGTAGGGAATTAAAAAAAAGTCCAACATTTTAATAACAACATAATTTATACTCAAATATAACAGTCATAATAATCCCAAAACAATTTTCAATTAAAACTCAATTCATCTTCCTTTCAATATTTTATTTTGTTTCACGGAGCCGTTGTTCCAGTACTACAATCAAGAGGATTTTTAGGCAAAGTATTCTCTTTCCACAGATCTGGTGTCAAATAAGAATATGTGCGTTGAATTGCATAGTAGGTAGCTTTAGCGAAGTTTCCAAGGGTTGCGGTTTGGCCAACAGCTAGAAAATTATAAAAAATGATTTTTAGTCTTGAAATAAAACCTGAGGTGTAGCAATCATCGATGCCCGCCATTTGCAACAATTTTTTCGGAACAGGTGCCCCGACAATGCCAGTTCCTCTTGGAGCAGGAATAAGACGAACAAGTACAGAAGCGCACTTCCCAGTGACCTAAAAATGCTTTTAAAATCCTTTCTAATAAAAAACCCTCTGACAAACCTTGCAAGGAACAGTATGAGGATCGCCAATTTTGTTTCCCCAATAGCCTCTACGAACGGGGATTATTGCCAGTTTAGCAGCAATGATTGCTCCACGAATAGCAGTCGCTACTTCCTAAACATCGAGTTATTAACAATTCGATTAAGTTAAGAAACCTTTGAACACTTAACACCCAAACCAACATGTCCTTGTCCATCTCCAATTGCAACAAAAGCTTTGAAACGAGTACGCTGACCTTAAATTTTAGTTAATTTTAAAGGTATTTTAAATAAAACCTGCTCGAGTCTGCTTCTGTACAGGCATAATCTTAAGCACCTCATCTTTAAGCTTCTTATCAGCAAGCAACAGATCGATTATCTCATATTCCTATAAATCAGATACGCATGATTAAATATCAGGGATGACAAGGATTACTTGAAAACTGCTACCCGGACTTTTCTTCGATTCTATACCCAATCCGAAAATTTTCCAAAACCCTGACATTTTTTGGCCCGATACCCGATCCGAGGAAAATTTTGAAGACTCCACCCGAAACCCGACTTTCCCCCCAACCCGTGACATCCCTGTTAAATATGTCTGACTTGACAATCGATTAAAATCAATACCTTGATTGGAAGAGAATGAAGATAAATTTCTTCAATCGTTGTTATTTTTCTCTCTTTAACTAAACGTCCAAGCTTAGTAACGGGTTGCCATTCTCTCTCCGCATCTTTGCCACGACCTCCACGTCCACCTCGACCACGAGGCCCTCCTCTTCCACGAGCTCCACCACGCACACCACGTCCTCCGGCTGCAGCACCTGCCGGTGGAGCGCCACCAAACCCAGCTTGAAATCCAGCACGTTCAGACATTTTTTATCTTTGTTAAACTAACAATAAGCACTAAATATAAAATTATTTATAAAAGCCAAAATGAACAAAATAAATAGGAAAATTTTAACAAATTATCCGATTCAGACTAAATTGTCTTTCAAACTACTGTCAATTTAAATTGGCATTCTGTTTAAAATTTTAATGGTAATGGACGTTTCAGTATAGTCGCGAGAATTTCAATTTGAGGTCGCGAGAATTTCAACAATATTTTTTCATGCTTATTAGACTGGATCAGATCTTTCGCTTCTGCCTTTTCGCCTAATAATTCGCCTAATTATAAAGACGGCATTCTAGTGATCTCGCTCTTAACTCGTTCTCTAATGGCCTCGCTCTCTAGTACTCTAGTGGATGTTCTATAGTCGCGGCACTCTAGTGGCCCTTTTTATCGAATAAATTTTGAGTTTTGTCCTTTACTTTTGCACTTGTAATTTTCATTTGGGTTTGACAATTTTATAATTCATTCAATAAATTTTGTAGACTTTTTAAGTGAATAAAGAAACTTGAAATGATACCGCATTTTTCTGCAGTAAGTACGCCACCTACGACTGCATCAATGCATCAACAGTCATTGATGTACACAAATCAAAATCAAACTGGAATTCAGGCGGCCCATCAGCAACCTCAACCTTTTGTGTATCAACCACAAGAAGGAATACCTTTTCAGGTATTGATTTTTGGTTTAACCTCGGTTTGCTTTCTGTGATCGATTTCAGCATAAAACCATTAGACATCCCACCTTATTTTTGTCATATAACTTTTTTAGCATCCGCAAACTCATTTCACTTTGGCGAATACTACTGATCCAAATATACATCCTACTGGGCAGGCTTGGATGTTGCGTACGAACACTGCTCCATTTTTTACAAACCAGCAACAGCCTCAGCAGATGTCTCATATGCGTCATCCACAACAGTCAACTGCAGGCCAGCAGCCTTTTGTTGGAGTAATTTATTTTCGATTCATCAATTCAAATTTATTTCTATTTTTCAGGGTATGCCGGGTTTTATGTTGGTTCCGCAAACTCCGCCACCGATGCTTCCGCCAACTTCTATTTGCACCAATCCTTACCAGCCGCCGCCACAGCCGTTTTCTATCCATGTTAGTTTACTTTATCAATTTTATCTTAATTCTAATAAAATACAGGGTCAGCCGTTTCAACCACAAACTGGTGCGATTCCGACTGGCTCTACCACGCAGTATATTCGAACTTTTTCTAATGGTGGAGGAGGGGGTGGCGGTCCAAGCACCAATGCTAATGGAGCTCATATTAATGGATACAATCCTGCAACCCATCAACAGTTGCGTAATCTTCCGCCTCAGCAACAACAACCAGCTACTAATGCAGTAAATACTGGAATTCCACAACAACCTTTTGGAGTTTGTTTTCAAATTTTTTTGTATATGTTCTATATTCTCTAAATATTTTTTAGCAGCAGCCTGTGTTTATGGTTGCGTCGGCGATGCCTAATTCTGCTGCTCCGCCACCAAATTTTGAGACGCTGCCACCGCTTATTGATCGCCAATTTCAACAGCAGATGCCAATGCCATCTCATCAAACTTCGGCAGCCCCGTCTTTGTTGCACCAACAATTAATGCAGCAGACGATTCCACAGATGCCACCTCCGCATCTGCATCAGCAGCCCCCGCCGCAGTCTGCTCCTCCACACCATCAATCTCCACAATTTCAACAGCAGACTTGTGTGAAAGGTTTTTTTAATCAAAAAATATTTTCAATTTGATTTTCTTTTAGAAAAGCGTCCACTAAGCATTCAAGCTCCGGGTTCTGAAGGTACTGGTGGTGAACAGCAGCGCGACGGAAGTCAAAGTGGGAGACAATCCGCTGCTTTCTCTTCTAACCCGTCTCCTCAAAATCAGCGTCTGACTCCGCCAGCACCTGCAAACAATGCGAGAGGTGAACAAGTAAAGGAATCTGATAATGCACCTCTCAATAAGACGGAGGAAATTAATGTTGGAAACGATCCTCGGAAGAGACCACAGAGTATGTTTTTATTGAATTTATATTTTTCAAATTGGTAAAAGTGCAGATAATTCCACTTTTTTTGTTTTCTTGAAAGAAAAAATGTCTTGTAAGACTTACTTTTCTATCCCTGTGAACTTGTTGAATAAGATTTAATCACTTTTATCGATGGCTCATTAGAGAATGTCATAGGGGATATAAAATCGGGGACTGAGGAAAGTGAAAAAAGTCCATCCTTGTGAATTGACTTTTTTCGTGTGAGGAATCTTCGCAAAATAAAGGTTTTTACTTTACTTCAGATCGTCCTCCCTCTTTTTCGAACAAAAATGGTGTTGGTCAGAATGCTTCTCGTGGTTCATTCTATAACAACAACAATAATAACAACAAGTTCAATCGACCTTTTCAACATCAACAGTCTCAAGATGTTCGGACTTATATGCAACCAACTCAAAATCCAAACAATCAAGTTCCATGTCAAGAGTGCGGGATTATTGGACATATTTGGAATTATTGCAGTAGAAGTTTGTTTTTCTTTTTTTTTTGATTTTGTGGTACAATTTTAATATTTGAAATTTAGTTAAACGCGAGCGCGACGAGTCGACTGAATTTGCAAATCTTTTTGAGAAGCAATCGCTCCATCCTGCATTGAAAAATGGTAGTGATGGCAATCCTTTTGTTCCTCAAAACAATTATCGCAAAAGTGACTATCATCAACAACAGAACTTTCGTAGCGGCGGATATAATAATAAAAATTTTGGACAAAGAGGCGACATGGTACGTCATCAACGCCATTCTAGTGGCGGAGGAAATGAAGGAAATTTTGTTGGTGTAGGAGGTAATCATTAGATCTTTAGCTCATATTTTTATCTTATGATTTATTTAATGAGGGAGGGGTGGCAAAATTAATATTTTATTTTCTTACTTCCTACGAGAAAGCGTAAGCTTCTTCCTTACTCTATCCCTTACTTTTTGAAATATGGTTAATAATTTTATTTTATTTAAGGCAATAAGTCTGGTATGAGTACAAGTGGATATGCACCTCCAGTCCGTACTAGTGGATATTCTGCTGGAAGTGCTTCTGGAAGCGTTGGACGACAGAGCGTTGGTGATGGAGGAGGAGGAGGTCGGAAGGCGCATACAAAACATAGCATTTTTTACAACAAAAATGTGCAACCGCAACAACATTCTACTACTTAGTCATGAGACGTAAATATTTTTTTACTTTTTATGATGAAAATTATATGCTTTTATTTTTTAGTATCCGCACAAAAATGACGACTTAGAAGATGCGGATGACCCAGGCATATGATAATTTTTATTTTATGGATTTCAATTTAAAAATGTCTTTTTGAAATTTTGTTTAAATAAAAATTGTAAAGACATTTTGAAGGTTCATTAATTATTTTGGGAATTTTCTGGGTAAAATTTCAACTTTTGGGAATATTGGGGAGTCCAGGGACTAACTTCAAAATTTATATGAGAATATGTTTTGGCTTTTTGGCCCCATTTTTTAAAAATTATTTGTTCCATCCTTTTCTCACATGAACATTTAAAACAATTTTCTACGCCATAGCTGGGAAATTGTGTGAAACAATATTATGCTTTCTAACCATTCAAAAAAACAAAGGACAAAAAAAGTTTGACTAAGGACCCATCGCCAGTTAATTACTAATTTTTTTCTATTTGACTTTGATAATCGGGCCTATTTTCTTTTTTTATTGTGAACAATTAATCATTGTGTGTGATAGGTGTTGAAATGTTAATTTATTATTAGCTTTGTTTTTCATTTTTTTAGAATTTTTATTCGAAAATTAATTATTTTCGGCAATGCCTTGTACGGCTATCCTTCTCTCCCAAATTGTCCTTTTCTACGATTTAATTAGACTAATTATTTCTGATGATGATCAAACAGTTTCTAATATAATTAACCTAGATAATAATCAATTTTCTAATTTTTATAAATGGATGGAACAGAATTCTCACATTTGTAAGAGTGAATTTGTATTATTTATAAATTTTGAAGTGATATTCAGGAGGATTTTTCTTAGTAAATTATGTTAATGAGTCCCCCTGAAGACTTACACCCTAAATGCTGAAAACCTACAACATTTGAAGGGGAATATCAGGGGATTTGGAAGAATTAATAGAGTATCGATGGATTTGGTGTGATTAGAAGGGAATAGTTATTTACTCACCAGAGCTGGGCACTTATCTCTTAATCCCCCATCTTCACTTTCAAAAGAAATAGGTCTTCAGGGTCAATAGATCTGCAGAATGTAGGTCCTCAGGGTTGATCCCTTGTTGATTTCTCAAAGATTAAACCTTAAAAAAATTTAAAAGGTGCCATTCAGAATTTCGATGAAGATACACCTTTCTTTCTAAAAGAAGTTGATTCTATAAAGTCTGATTGCGCCACAATATGTGGAAATCCGTTAGATATTCCTCATTTGGCTTGTGGAAAGAGACCATCCCAATCAGAAAAAGAATGGCCCAAATGTTTTTCTGGTAATTCTTACCTAAAAAATATTTTTTGAAATTATTTTAGTACCCCCTTTATGCATGTTAAATTTTGTACAAGAAAATATGGCGTTAAAAATAGCCTTAGGCCTTTTTCGTATTGAACATTTAATTGCTGCTGTTAATCAACAAAATAATCGAAAAATTGGAGAAATTCCAAAAAATAATTCAAATGAAAAAATATTTCCATTTGGGCAATTGTTGGTTTGTTTTTTAAAAAGTTTTCTTAAAAATGTGTAGGGGCAAAACACCGTCAGACCAAAACACCATCCGGATGTTTTTAACCTAAAAATTTTATTTTAAAAGTTGTTTACTCAATGTGAAGTGGACAACAGTATTTTTGCATGTGTCGGACGGTGTTTTAGTCGAACGGTATTTTGCTCTGACACGCTTAAAAATACATAGATAGATATTTTTTATTTTTTAAAAAAAGGTTGATAGCGAAACGTTTAATAAAATGGAGGAAAAGCCTGTTCGTTTACAGGCAAAAAAATCTGAAATGGGAAATAAAGATAATGAATTATTGTCATCATTAAAAGGTTGTAATATTTTTTAGGAACCTAAATTTTTAATTTTTTTAGAAATTAATTGTCAAATATTTGATAGAGAACCAGAATCTTGTAAATTTTGGGTAAATAAAGGAGAATGTAATTTAAATCCGGTAAATTAAAAATTTTTTTAAATATAATTCCTTTACCCAACAGACTTATATGCATAGAGAATGTAGATGGGCCTGTGGTTTATGCAATGGAAAAGAAAATTTGAAATTTAGGAATAAAAATTGAAATAAAAATTAAATAAAATTGAAATACTTTTATAAAATGAAAAAAAAAGTAAAATGAGACGTTAAAATACCCGCAGACTTGCCGAAAACCGTATTTTCTCGATTAACCCCCCCCCCCCCCCGAATAATTCCCCAATTTAAATTAATTTCCCATGACAGAGATTGGGGTTTTAATCCGGTAAAAAGTAGTAATTTATTGAGTTCGGCAGAATTTACCTGGATTCGGACCGGATAATCGCCTACGGGAAAAGAAAATACGGCAGTTACAATTCACAATATGGAATAATATTTTTAAAATATATATTTCTTTTAAATGAGATCGTAAAAAATATTTTTAAATTTTCATTGTTTAATTGAAGCCTTTTAATTAAAAAAAAACTTACTTCACCAAACATGTTTTAATTACAACTTTCTACCCTTCTAATTGTTTTGTTTCTTTCTTCTTTATGTATAATTCCATTATTTTCTTCTTCAGTTTCTGTAGATATTGTATTTCCACTTCCATTTAATCGAACCTTTTAAAAGAATAAAATTATTTTATAATTATAAGGTAGAGTAGAAGATCCATCTGGCAAGTTAAAACGCTTACTAGGCAGGGGTTTAAGAGTTAAAAAGAGAACGTGGAAGCAACCCCGACAGCCCAAGCAGTAGAGCACCCCCTGTACGTGGTGAGCGAAAAGCGCCTGCCAACAAATGCCAAGAGGTTGAGGAGCAATGGCTGCCGATAGCTAAAATTTTGCTTCCCTCTTGTGGTGAGCGAACGTACATGCAATGACTGCCAGGGGGTTGGCTGCCCGGTGGTAAACTTTTACTCTTCCCCTTTTTCTAGTAATTAAAAAAGAACCTGTTCAAGACGTAAACTCTCATTAAAATTTATTCTTGGTAAAGTATTTTCTCTTCTTTCTATCCCATTTTCCAAAAATCTTAAATCTCCATTAATAGTTGCTCCATTATTATCTCCTATACGACATCCTCTGCCTATACTGTGATGTTGGAATTTGTCAAAGAACCTTTGAAAAACCATTAATTTTTAAATAAAAATTTGTTATTTAAATATTTCGTTTCCCTTTTTCTTTCTTTCATCAATTTAATCATGGAGAAGGGTTATTACCCTAACTCGAGACTGCCTGCTATAACTTCGTTCATAATTATAGAATCCGGGACGCCGTGGTATGGTTCAATGCATCTTAATGAGTTTATCGCCATCCCAAGCGTTGAGGATAGCTCGGTGATACTTTGGCATCGCTGCACTTTGTCCTGCTCCCATTGAAAATTATGACGTAAATAATCATAAAAATTTTCATTTTAACACCCAAAGTAACAATTATTTTTCATAATTGGAACTATTAAATAATTAATTTCGCACACATTCACAAATTCAATGAGAAAAAGAAAGAAAAAAGTAAACAAAATATTTAATTAATTACCAGGTGCGTGAAGGACGAAACATAAAAGTTGCCAATAAACTAACAATAAGCATTTCCACGCAAAGTAGAAAAGAAATACAAACTTAAAAAAATTATTTTTTAGAAAGTATTATTATTTTACTGTCTGGGGAAAAATTTAGAAATGGCAAAAAAAATTAATAGATAGTTATGTCATAAAAAATTTTCTTCGGGAAAATTCCGTCATACATATCACCCTTCCGATTCAGACAAACAATCATGAAAGAGCTCGTCGAGCTGGGTCGAACGAGCTATTATTTGTATAATCGAAATTCTCACCGCAAAAATAAGCTCCCCACCCCCGCTTTTTGTTGAAAATATATGAAGCCTCTCCCTCCATGGTTTTTCGATTTCCGTAGCCTGTATCTCGGCCCATAGTTGCTCGATTTTAATGTCAAATGACACATTGACACATCAAATGACACATTGTTCGTCCGAATAGAAGTTTGGGTGATATGACGTAAAATCGACAAATTTTTGGATTTTACATATATAAAAATTATTTAATCTTTTAAAATTAATTTACATTGTGCTTTTGCCGATGCTGGTAATACACTTTTAGTTGAAAATATATGAAGCCTTGGAAAAGCCAGAAATTCAAATAAAACTTTTTGTACAGACCAAGCAAGTTGTGAAAGATCGACCAAACGAAAGAGTAGAAGAAAACTAAAAGTAAAAAAATATTTTGTCCCTCCTAACAAAAAAATAAACCGATATTCTCCAAGTAAAGAAGATCCTGCAGGTATAATCATATAAGAACCATAGGAACCAACAAAAAGTGAAATCATTCCAATGACATTTGAAATTTGAGTAAATAAATTGGCACGTGAATTAATTTCCTTTTTTTAAAAAAATAAAAATTATTTTATTCATTAATCATAAATGCTTGTGGATCTGTTGGCAATTTAAACTTTTTACGGTCTACTTTTAATTTTCCGGTACTACTTTCGATCCCCTCCCAGCGTCTCTCGCGAGTCAACGGTTAATAATTCAACCAGGATCTGTACTCCGTAACATCAACCTCTTCCTTTTTCCCGTTTTTCTGACCATTTTCTAAATCTCAAACAAAAAATAAGGTATGAGGGGGGCGAAAGTGGTACCAATTCTTCCTTATCTTCCTCTACCCCGGAATTCTTCCCTAGTCCTGCCACTAGCCTCTCCTATCTGGCTACAATTTTATTTTAGTTATTTCTTACCATGAAAACAATTATATTTACAACTTCAAGAAAAATTCTCACAATTGGTGATTGAAAAACAAGCCATTCCATTCTTCGAAAATTTAACCTGAAATTTTTTAATAAATTTAAATATACTTTTAAAAAATACAAACTGATTTGGTTCAACTTTTGAAAGACAAAAAAGGCAACATCCAAGCGGACAAACTCTTAATGATATTTTTACACCTTTTGCCATTAATTTCTCACATAAAATTTGTCTTGAACCATTTAACTAAAAAAATAAATTTAAAAAAAAATTAAATTTTTCCTCACAGTTAACATAAGACAAACAAGCACAAAAATACAAATCATAAAATAAACCAGGGCAATAGCATATAGAAAAATGGCAGCACGTGGAATAACTAGTCCAATAGTACCACAAGTTGAAATAACCTTTAAAAAAGTAGAAATAGGTAATTAAATTAAATTTTGGGACAAAATGTCACCCATCGGAGCAGTTCAGTCCCGGCCCTATAACTAATAAAAGAATGGTCAATTTTTAGTGCTCTTGGTACCATTGGATAAAGGATTCAATGCACTATAATATACCAGAAAATCAAAATTCTCGACTGATTGATAAAAAAGTTATGATCTAAAAACTAACTTTTTTTAAAAAATACGATTTTTCGTAACTTTATCGGTCATAACTTTTTTTATCATCCAGTCTAAAATTTTAATTTTTTTTGTATATAATAGCCCATTTAATCCGCTATCCAACGATACCAAGAATATGAAGAAATGACCACCCCTTAATGAGTTATAGTGTCGGGACTGAACTGCTCCAACATTTTGGGACAAAATGTCACTCATTTTTGACCCTTATTAGTGGGGTAGAGGACGACTCATTTTTAGGGTATTTTATTCTATGTACTCTGAATCGTCCCCTTTTCCACGTATTCTGAATCGGCTACTCTGAATTGTCCCTACTCTGAATAGTCCCTGCTCTGAATCGGCGACTCTGAATCGACCTTTTCCCTTATTAGTGAGAATATTTTAAAAATTAATTCAAAAAAACTAACCGGTCCCATAAAAACAAGCCAATACAAATCTGTCCTTATTTGCTCGTTGCTAATAAATTTCAAAACAAATATCCAATGAAGAATTCCCAAAATAAAAATAATTATAGTGATGATTGAAGCAACACAAATTGCCATTAAATAAATTAATTCAATACCTTTAAAATTAAAATAAAATTTAAAAAATTTATTTTAAAAAATTACTTTCAAAAAATTCTCCAACTCGAGGAATTTCTTCTTCAGTAATATTACATTCCTGGTCTTTAATACCAGTACAAAGCAATTGGCGAACAAAATCCATTAGGAAAAAAATATTTTTTTGTGATGAAGAATTGTAGTTGTTGTTAAATAAAATAAAGGGAAGAAAAGAGGGAAAATTAAAAATTGTTTTGATCTAATAAATATTTAATTAAATCTTCTTTCAATTCATTAATTTAACAAAAAAATTATTACAGAAAAAAATTTTTTGGAAGAAGAAAATTACAAAAAATAATAAATTTATTTATAATACGTGGGTTTACAAGTAAATCCATAATTGCATTGCCTATTTTTATCGATAAAAATCGTTTATAAAAATTCAACGTCAACATTCCACAAACACTAATTCACCAAACAAATCGATAGGTAATACTCTTAACAAAAAAATTCTTTCTTGATTTACATGCAATTTACAAAAAGTGTTAAAAGGATGATGGGGGTTGAACGCTTAGGTGGGGGTTGAACGATCTAAAGGATAAGAGAAAGCATTAGTTGATGCCACGGTAGTTAGTTCAGTGGTAGAGCCTGTCCGTCAACTAAGTCAACCCAATGTGCGGTAGCTCAGTGGTAGAGCGAAAGCCCCTAGCAATAAGTACGAGGAGGTCGCAGGTCTCGCCCGGTGGCTAAACTTTTGCTATAAGTCTTTTAAAGATGATTTGAAAAATAAATTCATTCCTTTAATTTATTTCAACATCGGTTAATGTACTACTATAAGTCTTTTAAAGAAAAAAGGTTGGAAATTATTCTTTAACTTAATAAAATTACAATGCTGATTTTCTCTTAAAAATTAAAGTTATTGTTAGATAAATAAAGGTTGTCTAGGTAACTGACAATAAAAACAAAAATGCCAGAACTTTTAACAATGTGTATTTTCCCTTTGTGTGAATTCTTGATTTTTGAACTTAAATGATACAATAATAAATAAATAGATATGGAATTAAAGATTAACTTGAAGATGCACTTTTATAAAATTTTTCATCAATCTTTTCATTTAAAGAAAATATTTTCGCTCTCTTCTTTCAACTCAAAAAAGAAACAAACAAAAAGTATTTATGTAGAGGTAATCGCTTGTTTGTTTTTTAAGGATCAATCAACCAACAGTCAGCTTTTCTCTTATTATAAAACCACACAAACAAATTGTTGTTTATGTAATGCGCAAGGAATATATGGAGAAAAATTAGATATACTATTATTTTAGTCTTATTATTATGAGCCAATTTATAAATTCTCTAAAGAGAAATTACTAATTTTTTCTCCTTTTTTAATTTTTTGGAATCATTCCCGGAGTCCAAGATCTACTATTGTCCCTGAAGACATAGAACTTTTAAAGGGATTAATGTGCCCCTTAATCCCTCCAAATCCTTCGATATTCTTTTTGACATTCCCTCTAAAAAGACAGGGTTGATCCAAAGCCTTCAGATTTGACCCCCAACCCCGTATACCCAGGAAGATTTTTTTGTCGTTGCAGGCTGTCATCCGCTTTAGCAGCATTTCATTTTTTAATTCCATTGTTTGTATAACTTAAATTAACTAAAAAATATTTGTGTTATTCACTCATATTTTTTTTCAAAAGGATGATTCTACCAACCCCAACCTCCTTTTTTCGGCCCCTCACAAAATTTAGTCATTTTCCTCCTTATGAATGTCTTTTTTGTTTGCTAATATTCACTCAAACATTTTTTTAATTCTCAAAAAATGTTTTTCTTTTAAATTTAAAGCTTATTTTTTAATTTTTCTAAATAAAATGCTATTCAAAAATGGAGAAAATAAATACAAACAATATTGAAACAAAGTAAAGGATTTCAAAGAATAATTAAATTGGTTTTCAGCAGTCAAATTTCAACAATTTTTAACACAATTCTTGATAAGGAAAGATTTTTAATTTTTAATGTAGAAAGTGAGAACACAAGGAAAATGGGTTATCCTTTGGATGATAATTTACTTTGGTCTCAATTTTTGCCTTATTTTATTCTTGCATTAATTATTTATTCAATTTTGGCTATTTTTTGGATACTTTGGAATATTTATACTTATAGAAGGTCCAAAATATCTTTTTAATCCCTTAAAATTATTTCTAGAGATTTGGAAAATACTAGAAAGGGTCGAACAGTCAGAAGACTATACGAAAGATGGTAATAAAAAATGAAAATTCTAAGTTTATTTTATTTACAAAAGGCGTCTTTTGAGCATTTACGACCAAATCCCATTGCCCAACTCAAATAGTGTGATTACTACAATTAACAATGAACAAGAAAATATTTCAACTGCTCAACCATTGTTACCAATTTAAAGAGCGAGGTGCTTATAAGTAGAGATTAAATAAATTTAAAATGATATTAAAAATATCCCAAAGAAAATATCCCCAAGAAATTTTATTGGACCACAAAACTCCAAAATGTGATTCCTACCATTTTATTCAAATTATTTTAAATAAAATTAAATTGTGTTTTTCTAACACTAAACGGTACCTCATTAATATCTCACCCCAAATCCGAGTCTCAAATTAATTCTTTCATTTTTTTGTCTCGAAATGTTCAAATTTCCTTTGCCGTAAAGTTGAGTTTTTCCCTCCTAATTTTTATTGCCTAACTTTCCTTTTACCTAAAATGCTTCATGAAAATAAATGATTGAAGGGGGTATTAACGAAGTACCCAAAAACAATTTTATTTTTAAATACCAAAAGAATTATTTCCAACGTTCATTACTTGCCCCATAGTCTCCACTTTCTTCGTTTAACCCTCGTGGTGTACCAGACATATAACTAATGTCTGATGGAGCATCTTAATTAAAATTTAAAAATAATTTTAAAAAATATTTGTAAATTTAACCTGGACCAAGATAAGAAGGCAAATTTGGTTTGACATAAGTTTGCTCTTTTTTGTCACCATATAATAAGTCTTGGTTTCTTTCTTCTCCAAGCAATTTATCTTCAGAAGGAGGATGTTCTTGTAACGATTCGATTGGCCGACCACTTCGATGTGCTTCTCGTATTTGAGCATAAGTTAACCGCCCACGGTCTTTTGGTCTTCCACCTGTAGCTTCGTTTCTGGAGTGCTTGAAAAAATAATTTTGTTAATATATCATCCCATACATCTGATAAGGGAACCTCACGAACTGTTAGAGAAAATTTCTTAATTTTTATTGCATCATCGTGAAAAGGAGTCGATAACCTATTACCAATTTTAGGCCCTGACCTCCAAATCGAATCAAAAGTTTTTTATAATATTTTTGGAGAGGCAGATGTGAGTCTTCTTCATTTTTTATTAGAGAAATTTTTCTTCTATTAAAGAGGAAAATCAAAAAGTTCGTGAGATTCTCTTGTGAGACATATAATTAACTTTTTCCGTATTGTTAAACATAGGGAGATTCCTTTCCTCCTATCAATCAAAAACTCATACCTCAACATAAAGATCATTAATTCTATCACGTACACGTTGAGAAGAGGGATGACTTTTCATAAATATTCCATCAGCTATAATAGCAGCCATAACGGGGACCAAAAATTCAAAAAAAATTTTTGATAAACAAATATTTAATTCCTTACAGTTCCAAAAATTAATCCACTAGTTATTGGACTCCAATTAACAATTTTTCTTTTTTTGAGCATGAAAAGGCCTGCAATAGTTGCAAATGCACAAGGTATTCCTCTTGTTAGATTAACCTGTTTGAAAATCATATTTAAATAAATTTAAAATTTAAATAACCTCGTAAAGACTACTCGAAGCCAAACTTTGTATTTCAGTCCTTTCTCGAGGTGTAAGACGGCTAGAATTTTTAAAAGTTGTAAGGGAACATTTAAAACTTGGTCAACACTGAAGACTTACACTCCCAATGCCTATTGACGCTAGAGACCTACAGCTTTTGAAGGGGAAATCAAAAGGAAATATCGATGGATTTGGTGTGATTGAAAGGGCTCTTCTCCACGGAGAAGAGCCCTTTTTTTTACAGAATACCACAACATAGGTTCTAAAATCGGGACTTACTTTATAGAGCCGAGTATTTATTTCACTTAAACCCTCTATATTCCCTTCAAGTCTAGGACCTTCAGAGTCAGTAAATATTCAGGGGTGGACTCTTAAAACTGATTTCCATTTTCTATTTCGGAAAGGTAGAATCAACAACTCAAAAATTTTTGTAACAAACAGCCAATACTCTTTAAAATCTCAAATCCTTTAAAAATAAACCTGTTTAACCAAATCATTTGTTCAGGAGTTAATTTACTGTTGTTTTTGTATAAATCAAACACTGGTTCACCAGTTGTTGGTCCTAGTCCTCCTCGATCATTTCCTGACCACATCTTTGATAACAATAAAATTAAAAAAAGGTTCTTATCTAAAAGATAGATTAGAAAATTAGCGTTCTAACTTTGAAATATATTGAAAATATATTTTTTAAATATATTTAAAAAATAAATAAATATAAAAGAACATCAAAATATAGGAGAATATTTATTTAAAAATTGCGATATTTAGAAACGGCAATCAAAAAAAAATTTAAATTTAATCTCAAAAATTGAAAAATAGAATTTTGTTCTTCATTTATTTTAGCCTTTGGATAAAAACCAAAATTGATCAAAATCCATCAAAATTGACGAGCGCTTAGATTTTTGAGATTAAAAGCCAATAATTTCCAGAAAAAAACAATAAATAATAAAAACCTCATCGTTCAAAAAATTTAATTTAAATTGCGTTTTTCACCGTAGATTCCAAAAAAGTTCGAATAGCAATTTCAAAAAGCTGTCGATAGAAGCCCAGACGGCGGTTACTCGCCACAAATATTTTCCAAACACCAATGATTAAACAAGAACGTAACAATGACTTTGCTTTTCCCTAAAAATTATCATGAAAATAAAAATCCTAGTTTAAAGATACTAAACCTGAACAAGACTCTTGACCCGATAAAATGTATAATAAGTGCACAAAAAATCTAATGACATCTCAAAACCATCCCAGAGAGACAAATTGAAATCGGGAAAGCGCCATCTACTTAAAGGCCTGATACGCCAACATGTTTGATAACGATATCTTTTTAAAAGTTTTTGAAAAAAATTAGAAAAAAATTACTTGCACATTGTACATTGATATTTCTGTTGATAAGGCGCATGATCTAGCCATTTCTCCATACACATTCTATGAACCCATTTCATAGTTCCAGAACCTGAAATTGTAATAAGGCATAATAAATAACTAAAAGCTCATATTAAGGCGGACAGATAATTAAATGGTCTCATAACGGTCAGAGCATGTACTTTCCGTCTGTCCGATAAATAGGTAATGTATTCAAGCAGTGACGATTACTTGGGGTAAATAGGGGAAATGTAATGATTTTGCATTTTTTATATTTGGCCATTACGAGTTCGGATGTTCAGAAACAATAGATCGGAACAAACCATAATCCCACACCAATTCAACACAAAAAATAATTTAATAACAAAAAGTTTACATTTGCAAGGATGCATCCATCTACCATCATTCTTCTCTACAGGAGTTCCGCTATAGTCATCTTCAGTTTCATAACAAATTTTACAAGAACGTCCATCACCGCTAGCGACAAGCCCATTATTGTTGTGAATGTTGTTCCCCACAGACGGGTCGGCTCCTGGAATATTACCTTCCTCGCTATTAATATGCATTTAAATCTTAAAGGAAGATACTGAAAGTTAAAAAATTAATAATAAAATAAAAATTATTTAAATATTTAAAAGGACAATGTCAACTATAACTCAAAAATTCCTAAATTTGAAACTAAACTTTATCAAAAAATTAAAGACAAAAAACGACTAATCATCTTCTCATGTAAAATTCAATCGCTGTTGAGAAAGCAGAGAACCCTAGAAAAATAAATTTTAAAAATATTAAATATTTAGTAAGCAAATACCAGCAGCTCCCAAAATTGCGGGTTTCAATCCAGCTCTAAAACCTAATAATCCGCCAACAATAGCACCAGAAAATGTCCCGTTTTTCCAATCACTTTTAGCCCTAACAGTTTCTAATAAACATTCCGTCCCAGAAAACATTAATCCAATAGAGGCAAATTGGCGTGAATAATTACGCATTCTTGAACGCATTTCAGTCCACGTCTCGCGCAATGTTAACTAAATTTATAAATATACTTTTTAAATATTAAATTAAAAATTAACCGGTTTACTCGGATCTTTACTCACTGCAAAACTTGGATCCATTGAAGCTGTAAAAAGTCCAAAAGCTAAACCCATAGCGGCACCAAGAACGCTCGTAATTACTGCTTTAACGGCACAATTTTCCATCAAAGTCATCATTGCTTGTTCTTCTGGTCCCATTGGAGGAAGGGCGAAGGCCTTAATAATATTTTAAATATTTAAATGACATGAAAAACATGGAGGAACTAATATTAATAGAGATCGGTCTGGATCTGGACCTTGATTTTTTCTTGACTCAAAGTGAAGAATCTAGTCTTGGCCCCCATCAAACTCAAGAATCAAAGGTTTTTTAATACCTCCGATCTATCTCTAGTACTGATGTTAACCTTTTGAAAGATTAAAAAAATTATAAACCGGCAAAGACGAAGCTTTAATCCTCTCCTCAAATTGACTTTTCCACGGCCTTAACTGTTTTTCATTCAACAATTGATTCAACATTTTTACAATATCTGAGGGAGTATAAACAAATTCTTCCTGAAAATTGGAAATTAATAATTTTACAAACGTATTATACCTCTATAGCGTTGCTGCATTCAGAATCTGCCTTTTGTTGTTTGAAAGGATTTGCGAAAATATTTTCAAGCTGAGATATGGAGCTGTTTGGTCTAATACCAAATCCGCTTGTCATTTTTAGAAATACGGAAATTAAAATCTAAAAATTTTAAATGAAAATTAGCTAGTGAGTGTGATAAAAGAAGAGATAAACAAAAAGTTAAACGCCGCTATGACAATTGGACAGTGCGACATTAAGACAAAAGTCATTTGAGTAAAAGACTATTGGACAAGAGGACAATTAAACTTTTTTGTTTGATTTGCTGGAAAATACGGTAAAGTGATTGAGAATAAAAGCAAGTTAAATGTTCTTGGATCATCCCCCACTCACAAATTCAATAAAAAAATATTGTTTACTAAACAAAAATGTAATTTAAGAAGTGAACAAGCAGCTGCTTTTTAAAGTTCTACTGCTTTTTGTTCTCTCATTGAGAGTATGTTTTTCTTCAGTAAAAAAATTATCGAGATTTTTTGATTTCTTCTAAAAATTAAATTCTATTTATTTTTTAAACATGGTCTGCCCTCCATTTATTGAACGTGCACCCTCAATTATTAATAAACCAGATGGGTGAAATTTTTAATTTTATTTAAAAAATGAGTATTATTCATCCCCAATATAGATCTGTTCTTTTTGAATGTATTTGTAATGCAAATCCAGAACCAACAATTAAATGGTTATTTAAGGACCAAGAATTGGTACCTGGAGATAGATATTTAATTAAAACAAAGAAACAAGTTGGAAAATATGCGTGTACAATGGTTATAAAGGTAACAGAATAATTTATAGATCTTTTAGTAACAAGACATTTTCCCTCCTTAAAGAATCCTGGCCAACAAGACCAAGGAATTTATAAAGTTGTGGCTACGAATCCCCAAGGCACACATTCTGTTCAACAAAATTATGTAATGAAATGTACAGCTAACGAAGTGTTCAAAACACAAATGGATTAATTTAACTAAAAATTTGTTTTAATTTTATAAAAAATATAAGACACCAGTTTAGAATAATAAAGGCAAGTGTGTGAAAAGAATGCAAAATTTTGAAAATAAATATAAAAATATTTTAAAAACTAATGTTAGGCAAAAAATGAAGCTAATTAATATTTAAGAGCCGAATTGCGTGTTGGGGTCTTCATGATTAATTTTTTTGAATTCATAAAATCCTCTACCATTCATATGTAAAGAATAGTCATGGTGTCTTAAAAATTATTTTAAAAACTAAGTATTTTTGAGAAAAATTTAAAATTTGTTAAAGGACTCATACAACGAATGGATTTATAAAAGAGCAATCAGTCATTTATGCTCAGACAAATGCCTTTATAATCATTGTCCTTATAAAAATTCGAACTTATAAAATATGACCCATAAAAGTCGGACACACAACCAACTTAACCACATTACTCAAATATTCTTCTTAATAAATTTTCCAATAGAATTATCAAAAACTTACTTCCAAAGTGACTTCCGATGAGAAACAGTAAATAAAGTAATTCCCAATTCATGACAACGCCTATAAATATTATCCTCTACATCAGCCGAAACAGCACTTGTACATTCATCCAGAATAGCAAATTGTGGTCTATGGTAAAAGAGACGAGACATCTAAAAAATTTAAAATTGTTTGGCAATTTTTAGTTATATAGCTTACTGCTATCCTTTGTTTTTCACCTCCACTCAATACATCCATCCAATCCTGTTGACTTTCCCAACCACCTTCACGTTCCAAAATGTATCTAAAAATAGAAAATTCTATTGACTTGTCCCGATTACGCGTTCAATCGCAACTTTATGCGTCCAATGTAATGCGTCCAATGAAGAGTTTATGCGTCCAATAAATAACGATAATTACCCGGTTCTGCCTGAAATAACATAAAATACATGGTAATAGAAAGCTATAAACACCCAGAGTTATAAGGCTTTTTTTCATAAGGCTTTTCATTGAACAGATAAACTTTTCATCGAACGCGAAAAACTGCGACTGGACGCGTAATCTGAATTTTAGTAATTTTCCTCACTTAAGTTGAACATTCTCAAGTAATTCCTCTAAATCACTATCTGTGAAAGATTTCCGTCTAGCATCCGCTGGCCTATCTGGATAAATTACTTGATCACGCAATGTTCCAATGGTCATGTATGGGCGCTTTAATTATTTTTTCATTTTTTATTTAAATTTTAAAAAACCTGCGGGACATAAAAAAGTTTTCCTTTTTCAGGTTTTATTAGTTTTCCTCCCCAAAGAGGCCATAATTCTCCTAATATTCGAAATAAAGATGACTTTCCACAACCATTTGGTCCACAAACAAGTACATTAGTGCCGGATGGGACTTCAAAATCCAGACATTTAATTAAAATATCTCCATTTGGAGTGACCTAAATAAAGTTAAATGTTTATAAAGAGAAATTAAAACAAACCAATGGAACCCTTTTAAAACGAATTAAGTTGTCTCTAATTTCAATTTTGCCTGCGCCTGGTTGAAAAGTAACTAGATCATCTTCATCTGTTGAAGGAGAAGAAAGCGATGAAGAAGCAGAAAGTAATAATCCATTAGCTTTTCCATTAATTTCTCCTGAATTTTCTTGACGAGATTGATGTGTATTGTTTATATCCAAAATCATTGTCCGTTGATATTTTCCTTAAAAAATTATTTAATTTTTCAAAATAAAAATTAAAAAAAACCGTTTTCTAAATCATTCAAAACATTTAATAACATATCAACGCGAGAAGTAAAACCAGCTAAACGAGTCATTTCTCTACCAGCAAGAGCTAAGCGACCAAGAGCTTCTGCTAATTTAAACATCATACGGCCAGAACTGTAATAATCCTATAAATAAAATAACTTATATATGTCAAAAGTCAGTTCAGTCCCGAACCTATAATTTATGAAGGGGCGGAAATTTTTTACTGTTGGAATAGAGAATTAAATACATACAACTCACTACCAAAAAAAATATTTTAGACTAAATGAAAAAAAAGTTTTGATCGACAAAGTGCCGAAAAATCACATTTTTAAAAAAGTTTTTAGATTATAACTTTTTAATCAATTAGTTGAAAAGTTTGATCTTTTGAAATCCTGTAGGGTTTAATTCTCTATCCAATGGTACCAAGTATATGAAAAAATGACCATCCCTTCATTATAGGGTTGGGACTGAGCTGAGGCTGGACTGAACTAAACTGCTCCGTCAAGATTTAATAAAATACAAAACCAAAAAATTATAACCTGCATCAATTCAGTTTTATTTTTTTGCTTCAACGTTGAATTATTCTGATTAAAAAATGGACGAGACATTGTATACCAACCAACCTATAAATTTTAAAAAATTAAAACAAATTTTCTTAAAAAACATACAACTGTAGCAACATATTTAGCAACAATATTGTCCAAAAATGAAATGGAGAACCGAAAAAGAATAAGTGAACGCAAATGTGAAATCATTTTTTGAAAGGAATTCATAATTGATCGACGTTCTCTTTCATTTCCCTAAAAAAATTTTTTTGAAATTTTTAATTTAAAAAATTGACTCTATAAAAGGCAATTTCTTCACTATTAACAATCAATCGGGAATTTATTGAACGATAATCACCCTCAAATTGTTGTTCCATGACGGTCATTCTTCCCTAATATTTAAAAATTAAATTAATTCAAAAATAAACTTTTTACAATTGGTCTCCTTAAATAAGTTAATACAAGTCCTGATGCAATCAAATAGAAAAAGAGACGAATAGGAGCTTGCCAACCAAGAGAATCGCCAATCCTGGACACGTAAAGCAGAACATCGACTAATGGCTGAAAAATGCTTTTAAGTTGGATTTTTTAAATGAATAGAAAATAGAGGATATGATTTAAATGCGAAATTTTGTTTTCCAAAATTTATTAAACAGGGAAGACCCAGAATTTTCATTTTGTCCCCATAAAGACACTTTATTAAAAAATAGACCTTTGACAAATTAGAGTATAAATCTACAACACCTCCACAGAAACGGTCAACATCTTGCGTAAGTAATTGATCAGCATTTGAAATCTAAAATTAAAAAAATGTGCTTTATAAAAATGTGAAAAAACTCTATTATCCAGATTTGCCATTTTATAAAAAGTAAATCCATTCAAATATTGCTTGTAGAAATTGTGAGTTAAACGTTCTCTAAATCTCAACTTCAATTCACTTAAAGCGAACTAAAAAAATAATTTAAAATTTAATAATTAAAAAACCCTAAGGAATGAGTTCACAACAGAGACTAACGGCATACACATCAAATAGTGCATTGTTGATTTAATAAAGTTTCCTCTTTTACGAGCAATAATTGACGCCTCAATACCCGTAGAGGTTTGAATCATCCAAACATCTGCATATGTACGCAATAAAAGAGAAAGCGCAATTAAGGCCATAAGCAATACCTTTTTAAAATTGTTTTTAGTAGTTGGACATGACCGGTTAACTTTTCCCTGTGGCGGATCAAATAGAGAAAAATGCGCCTTTGAAACAACACAAGGAAAAATCAACTCTTAATTTTTAAACATAAAGATGGGTTGACATGCCCGGTTAATTTCTCACTGTGACGGGTCAAATAGAGATGCGCTTTTAAGCCACCTCAGGGAAGAATTAACCGTTCGCATCTAATATTAATTTCTAATTTTTAAAAAATAATTAAAAATAAACCTCAAAACAAAAAGGGCTTGGTATAAGAACACGCACAATACGAAAGAGTCGACGTATAAAATTAAAATCAACATGTGCACGTTCACTTTTTGGATCAGATCTAGTAGAAATACTTTTGGTTGCAGTGAATCTACTGGAAAATAATTTTGAATTATTTTAAAATTTTGATAAATTCGACAAAAATTTTTTTCGAAATTTGAATCCATTTGAATTTCGAACAGAAATTTCCGACATAATTCTAAATTCGAATCGATTCGAAAAATCGATTATTTCTTTCTAGATAAAATTACCCAAGTTGATAATGTCTCCTGTACAAATGGATTATTGCGAAAACAAGGCCAGTACCTAACAATGCCGGAGCAGCATCACGCAAATTTCCTCTTAATCTGCTCAAAACTGAAGGCATTAACCAAAATTTAAAAGTTCAAGAATAATATTTTCTGAAATTGAAAAAAATTGATAAATATTAAATAGAGAAATATTTTGCTGCTGCGCAAAGCTGTAATCTATTTCTATGACATAAAAGAAACTGGTTTAATTAGGTATTTTGGCCAACCATTTATCAGCTTAATTGGTTAAAAGATTGATTTTATTTTAAAAAAAATTAATAAATATAAAAGTATACAATTCAAAAAAATCAAAGATAATTAAATAAAAAATTATATTATGTGTTTCTTTATTGAATGAAAAAAATGATTTAATAAATAGATAAAAACAAACAAATATTTCTTACTTATCGGCCCATTTTCACCGATAAAAAGAGTAAAGTAAAAATAATTCTCTCAAAATTTATCGACATTTAATTTGAAAAAAATTAACAGAACTTTGAAATAAAATCCTGATATTATGTTAGTGTTGTATATACAAGGGATTCACGGGTTGAGGGAAATCGGGTTCCGGGCCGGGTCATCAAAATTTTCTTCTGATAGTGTTTCGGGTTGAAAAGGCCGAGTTTCGGGCCGGATCAGTTATGAGGATTAAGAGAAAAAAGTAAGCCGGGTCGGGTTTCGGGCTAAAAAAAGAATGGGTTTCGGACAACTTAACATTACGGGTATATACTATAATCCGAATAAATTTGGTATTATACAGGAAAATTATGAGCAAAAAATAAAAAAATTCAATAAGATAAATTTTTTTTGAATTCAAGTGTTTATTAAAATATGTATATGTAAAATACCTTCTTCAATCACCTTTTTGAATGTTATATAAACAATTCTGCAATATATTAATTTTAAAAAATAAGTAATTATTAAAAAATGCAAACATATTGAAATATTTTGCGACACTTGATCTGTACATTTTCCCAATTCTGTTGCACAACGTCTTTGCCATTCTGCCTTTGCTTTCCACCTTTCAAGTTCTTTATACCTTTAAAAATTTTTGAAAAAATATAAAATTTATATCTAACAGAGATGTAACAGGTTATTCGAAACGCGAAATCGTAACTTTTTTCTATATGAAAATTTCGACATTATTTTCTCAACCCGTGACATCCCTGTTCCCTATAAATTACCAAATTCCTCCATCAATAGGCGCTGCCCTAACACCAACTCGCGAAGCAATAATTCTCTGAATTCGAGCAGCAAATTCTATAGGAGATTCTTGTGGGCGACATTTTTGAGGAGCTTAAAAATTTTTATTTTATTTAAAAATCAAAAATAAAACCTAGATAATGAACATTATAGACAATCGCCCAAGAGGTTAAAACTCTCAATAAATACATGAAAAAATAATTTTCCTTCCAATAAGAATCACCATAACGAGATTCTTGTCTAAAAATTAAAAAAAAAAGTAACTTTAATTAAAACAAAAAAATATACTTAATTGCAACTGGATAAACAATTATATCTTTTTGAAAAACAGCTTTTCTGAATTGAAGAACTTGGGAATTATTTGTGCAGTATCCCTCTGGAAATAGAATTACTGGTCCAGATTTCTGTATAAAAATAATTTTATTAAAATTAAAGATGGACTAATCTAGAGACCGGACTGGGAAGGCCGTACGAAAACCGAGATCAATATCTACAGAAATCTCAGATTAGATAGTCGTGATTTTTGACTAAATCCCATTTCGGTCCCGGGTCTAGTCTACTCCTATTTTATTTAATGTTCAAAAAAATAATTTTTTAGGTCAGAATTAGAATTTTCTTAGTTACCCTAGCTGCTTTAAGTACATCAACACTAAATTGTCGTCTCGATTCAGGATCAGAACGCTCAAGCCAAAGTGAAGGACACTAAAAATAAAATATTAATTACATGAACGAAATTTAAATCTAACCATTTTATCAATAAGCTTTTCCAAAGCTCCAATGACACCGCTATGTTTTTGTCCGGTCACCAAATACAAGTAATCTCTATTTAAAGGAATATCTGCAAACATTACATGGACGTCGTGTTTGGTGATAAATGATTGGCGCAAATTACACCTAAAATGAAAAATTTCATAAGCAAAAAAACCAAAATTTTATAGGGCTGAGAAAATAAGCTTTGAAATATTGAAATTTGAGAATGTGAGAATGAGTACCTGAGAGGAAATTTTTTTAAATAAATATTTCAATTCTTTCAATTTACAAGTAAATCTCAAGGACTAGATTAGGTGAAATGATCATATTTGTTTTAAATAATTAAAATAAAAAACCTGGCCTAGTTGGTCGATTGTCTGTTCCATGAAATCTGATAATAAAACCACAACCAAGAGTATACATTCGACAATAAATAACAGCAAGATAAGTTCTTGTAAGAGGTGAAAAAGGCCAGAATAAATTGACAATACAACAAACAAATAAAAAAATAAAGGAACAAATTAATAGGGCAAGTCTTGTCTAAAATTATCAAATAATTATTAAAATAAAATAAAAAATAACCGGAAAAAGAGCACCAAAACGAAAGACAAAAGAAGCAAAGAGCAAAAAACGAGGCCTAAATTCAGGTTGTCGTTTAGGTTTCTTTCGCTTTTCAGTTGAAATTCCCTCTGCAGAAGCTGATCTTCCCATGTTCTTTTGTGGATGAGGTAAAAGCCTGCCAGTAAGCGATGAACGTCTACGACGACGTAACTTCAACCTCAACTTGAGACTTTTCTGTATAGGAACCAATTCATAATGACGATAGTCCGGAGAAAGGGTAAAATTGATACCAATATCTTCCTTAAAAAATTAAGAAAATATTTTTAGTACTAGGTCGTTTCATAAAAAATGTAGCTTTACAAAAATAGTTAATGAATTTTTTGTAAATCTTCAAAAGCTTTGAAACTTTAACTTTATATTTTCCAGAGTGTTTTCCAATAGTTTTCAAAATTTGCTAATTTTTGGTTAAGTATTCAGGGAGTTATGATCCTTTTAAAAATTTGTATCGAAAAAAGATTTAAAAAAAAAACCACAAAATTTCAAAGCTTTTGGACAATTATAAAAAAATCTATAACCATTTTTGCTAAAGCGACATTTTATGAGACGATCTAAAAAAACAAACACTAGCAATTGACTGCATTCCATTTCCACAAAGATTTAAAGACAATTTTAGAGGCAAAAATGTTTGTTGTTTTTCTTTATTATTAATGTTTTTGGCCAATTCCAAAGGTTGAATTATTTCCAAATCACTATCATTGCTCGTACTGTCAGCAGTGTCAAACAAATTTTTATCAAAAACGTCGTCTAGATTGTCAGATTCTTCAGTATCACTATTTTTTGTTGATTTCAATTGATTAATTCCATAAAGCTAAATTTCTAATTTCATTTCTATTTCTTTATATTTCTTAAGAAAAATTAAAAGCATGAAAAGGGAATAACTGTGTGCCTCAAACTACGGAGGAGGTCAACATAGTCGAAAAGTACCAGTATTTTTACATTTTAATTAAACCTGACTTTAACCGTGAAATGAATTTAAAATAAAATTAACCTCTAAAACTCTGTCCTGTATCCATGTAACGACTTTTAAATAAAGATTTGAACATACGGCCCAATCCTTGCCCAAAATTACCAGCAACATTCCAGACGTGAAGAGGGACAAAATAAAATAGAAATAATACCAGAAAAATGTTGAAATCATCTAGAAAAAATAATGTACAAAATAAAAGTTAGGTAAATTAAGATAAATTGTTTTGTTTCATACAACAAATTAACACGTAAAATAAATAAATATAAAAAGAATTAATTAAAAAAATATTTAAATAAATTAGAGAAGAAAAGGATTAACAAGAAAAAAATCCAAAAAAAGCAGATGGACGGATGACAAAGTCTCTTAAAAATAATGGATCATGTGGATTATCCATGATCTCCGCAATTTAGATTTTCAGATAGAAATCTAAAGTTGAGTGGGAACTTTCCAAGAGTGGGAACTTTCCAAGTCTGAGTGGGAACTTTTGGGGATTTTTCCAAGTTTCCCAAGCATTCCTGATTGGTATATCTTCAGGATAAATTTATTTAATGTTTCCCAAACTAAAAATTTTCCAAAATTCCAAGGGCTTTGAAATTTCGAATTTTCTTCATTTTTTCGAGTTATCGACAAATATCAACTAGTTTACACTTTGACATTTTCCAATTTGAAAATTAACATAATGAAATGCGTTAATTTTCAGTTCAAATTTATTTGGCGTCACTTTTTTTCTGAAATCTGGATTTTCACAGATTTTTGTTAATCTCCGGAGATTACGCTTTTATGTTGTTTTTTTCATTTTTTTAATTATTTCATCTGTTTTTTTTATTTTTTATTCGTTTATTCGTTGACCCCAGCGCTGCGCGCGCTTAAAATTGCTAAAAAATAATTTTTTTTAATTTTCAAAAATCTAAATTTTTTTAATTGAAGGCCAGTCACGACTTCTGGACATGCTTCCTCTGGATGGCTGGCCGGTTAAATTTGATCTTTTTTTTTAAATTTGAGTTTGAAATTTTTTAATTTGTTAGGCGCTGCTTCGACCGTGCTCTACATGGTGGTATGTGGTGGCCTTGGCTGGATGGGATCAACCAAACGGTGGGTTTTTTCCTAGTTTATTTGAATTTTTTAAATTTAAAAATGAAATTTTTTTTATTTTTATGTATGTTCTTCATGTGGTGGCCTTTGGAGAATATGCTGATGGTCTTCATGGTGGTGGTGGTCTGGGGGCCTGTTTTTTTTATTAAAAAATTTTTTTTTATTTTTTTAAAAAAGTTATGCTTGTGGTGGTGGTGGTTTGGTGGCTCTTCATGCTCTTGGTGTGGCTCTTCATGCTCCTGGTGGTTGGTGGCTCTCTTCATGCTCTTGTTGCCTGCTCTTGGTGGTTGGTGGAATATGGTTGGGGTGTGGTTTTTTTTATTAAAAAATAAAAAAAAATTTATAATGGGAGGGGGTGATTTTCAGCCAGGTCCGTTCTACTCCATGCACTTGTGGTGGCTCGTCTACATGCTCATTCTCGTCTACATGGTCTTCCTCATCAATCCTTGGCCCGGTAAATCTTCAAATTTTTTAAATAAAAAATTGCTTGCTAAAAATGCGCGAGCGAATGACCCCAAACTTCCTTCATTTTTTGTTTTTTTGTCCTTGTCCTGTTTGTCTTTGTTTTTTTTTCAATTTTCTTTCAAGAAATTTTTGAAAGTTTTAGCTCAACTTTTGGTATGGTGGACAAAGCAGCAAGTGCTCCAATGGATGGAATCCGTTTTTAGAGGTTTTTAAGTTCAATGGGAAAAGTGGGGGATTTTACGGGGAAAATTTAGAGAGGGTAGAGGGGTGATTATCGATTTTCATTATCGATCTCTCTGCCGTGTTTTTATCGATTTTATTTTTGGCATTCTGTTTAATGTCAATTCATCCCATTTAAATTAGGTACATTTGAGTCTCACACACATCCATCTTCATCAACTTTTTCTTCGTTTACCTTGACCCAGTTTTTTAACTCCGATCGAGATCATTTAACTTTAATTTTACGCGTATTTCCTTCTTTTTCAACAGATTTTGATTGATTTTTAATGTTACGCATTTTTAATTAAATACTTTTTCAGATTTTAATATTAACGACCTTTAATTATTCTAATGACTACTCTTCTAATTACTCCAACTTTAAATTCAACTAATCAATTTGCTACCAATTTTGCCCTTTATTTACTGAAATCTGGTCGATTTACTAATGGGAATAGACAACTCTTTGCCTTGGTTTCGCCTAAAGATGGAACAAAAATTTCAAAATCGCTGGAACCTTATCTAGAGGGAGGTCAACTCAACATTTTGTTTGGCTCTGCTAATTCTCAAAAGATTGTTAAGAGAGTTGTCGAGGTTAATGAGGTTTGTGATTTAAGTTTGGTATTGTCTAAGGTCCATAATTGCTTCCGGGATTGCCCTGTTTGTCTCTGGGTAGCCTTTTGACAAGATTCAAGACAGTGTTACTTCAGGTTCCGGGGACGGCTCGTTTGTCTTCTCTGGTTTCCTTGAGATAAGATTCAAGGCCGGGTACTTCAGGGTCCGTAATTGGCTCGTTTGCCTTCTCTTGTTTCTCTATTAGATAAGGTTCAAGACTGGGTACTTCAAGGTCCGTAATTGGCCCATTTGTCTTCTCTGGTTCCCTTTGTGGGATAAGATTCAAGACAGGGTACTTCAGGGTCCGTGATGACTCATTTGTCTTCTCTGGACTCTGTGAAGGAGATTCAAGACCGGGTACTTCAGGGTCCGCGGGAGGCCTGTTTGTCTTCTTTGGGTTTCTCTGTGACATAAGATTCAAGACCGCTACTTTAGTTGATTAGTTCCCTTATTCCTTTATTAACCTTAATCAGTCTTTTTACACTGTTTTTGGTATTTTCTTTTGCGTTCGTTTAAACAAGTCAAAAATCATTTTCAGACGCGAAACGCTTGATTGGACGCAAGTTTGACGATCCGGCTGTTCAATCGGACATGAAGCATTGGCCGTTCAATGTTATCCAAGGAGAAGGTGCTCGTCCAAAAAACCAAGTGGAGGTTAAAGGTGAAATGAAGGCGTTCTTCCATGAGGTTTGATTTGGATTTTACTTTGTTTGAGCTTAACTTTTGTTTTTAAGGAAGTTTTGGCAATGGTCTTTGACTAAAATAATTGAAACGGCTGAAGCATTTTTGCGCCAAACCGTTAAGGATGCTGTCATCACCATGCCGGCCTACTTTAACGACAGTCAACGCCAAGCCACAAAGGATGCTGGAACGATTTCTGAACTTAATGTTTTGCGTATCATCAACGAGCCTACTGCTGCGGCTATTGCTTATGGTTTGGATAAGAAGGGCCAAGGCGAGCGCAACGTCTTGATTTATGACTTGGGCGGTGGAACGTTCGACGTGTCTATTTTGAAGATTGAAGATGGAATTTTTGAGGTCAAGTCGACTGCTGGAGACACTCACCTTGGAGGCGAAGATTTTGACAATCGAATGGTTCCGTGACTTTTGCGCCGAGAACATTTGCGCCGCGACTCTTGCGCCGCGACTTTTGCGCCGCGACTTATGCGCCGAGCGACTTTTGCGCCGGACAACATTTGCGCCGCGACTTTTGCGCCGGGCGACTTTTGCGCCGCCACTATCATTAAAAATCTTCGGATATCCGGCCTTTTTCGGATCCGGATCCTACAACCCTTCGCTATAATGCACCATCTTGGACCTGAGAATCATGCCGGAATAGGGTTAGCTAATTTACTGAACTGAAAAAGTAAACACATCATAAATCATTTGTGATATCGAATCCGGCGATTTCCAAGGCCCAGACCTAATTCATCATTTATGGTCCAGACCTAATTCATCAGCTACCGGACCCCTATTGGGCTAAACTACAGTTTCCGTACCAGGCTCAGAATTGAACGATTTATATGTCATTCGAAAGAGCTCGTCGAGCTGAGTCGAATGACACCAAAATTTTTCAGCGGAAAAAATTCTGAGCCGAGTTACAGACCACTAAAGTTCAAAAAACCATAGGGGGGACCAAGCTGTTTTCTGGGGGTGAAAAATTCGAATATGCAAATTATACCTCATTCGAAAGAGCTCATCGAGCTGAGTCGAATGACACCAAAATCAATGAAATCAGAATTGATTTGACAAAGTTATGCTCGTTTGTTTTAGCTCCTTACCTATGTTCTCCGTGGATGTTCTTGCTGCTGCGGAGGAAGCTGGGCATGCCAATCACAGCGATAATTGGCATAGGATTAAGTTACGAGCCCAGACCCAGAGCCCGTAGACTCCCCGCGAGGCGCGTGCCGCAAAACTCCGCGCGAAGCGCGGAGTTTTGCACAAGCGCCTCGCCGACGCCCCATAGGTTTACGTTGTTTGTTTTTTCTGTCATAACTTTGAACAAACTTGACCAATCACGGCGATTTTGGTGTCATTCGACTCGGCTTGAAGAGCTCTTTCAAATGAGCTATTAATTGCATATTCGAATTTTTCACCCCAAAAATCAGCTTGGTCCCCCTTATGGTTTTTCGATTTTCGGGGGCCTGTAACTCGGCTCAGAATTTTTTCCGCTGAATAATTTTGGTGTCGTTCGACTCAGCTCGACGAGCTCTTTCGAATGACATATAAATCGTCCAATTCTGAGCCTGGTACGGAAACTGTAGTTAGGCCCCCTATTGTACTTCCTGAACTTCCTTCAGTTCCTGGATACCCTTTTTAACCCGAGGGGTACAATAAAGTGAGGTCCGATTGTAGTTAATATTTTATTTTTTTTGAATTAATGGCGGCGCAAGTGTCGCGGCGCATAAGTCGCCCGGCGCAAAAGTCGCGGCGCTAAAGTCGCGGCGCAAAAGTCGCCCGGCGCAAAAGTCGCGGCGCATAATTCGCGGCGCAAATGTTCTCGGCGCAAAAGTCGTGATACCAATCGAATGGTTTGGAGTTTTTTGAGGGGGTTTTAACTGCAAATGTCTTTTAAAGGTCAACCATTTCGTGCTGAATTCAATCGTAAGCACAAGAAGGATCTTGCCACCAATCCTCGTTGGTTCTTTTCGATTATGGATAAGTTAGTTTTCTTTTGCTTTTTTAAAACATTTCTCTTTTTTTTTAAAGAACTGAAGCGCAGCTACGCTACTCAAATGCAACTGGCCCTGGAAGGACCCTACCCCTTGCTTCACATAAAGTTAATTTATCGGTTTTATTTTTTAACATTAATTCTTAAGGTAGGAGTAACTTTCCGTGATGAACCTGGTGAAGGTACTGGAGTTGCGCGTTATTTTTATGCCGCTGTTGCAGAGGTTGATTTTGATTTTTTTTAATTTTTTAATCTTATCATAAAGGCCCTAACAACTGTCAAGCATTTGTCTGCACTTGATAATGTTAATGAAGATGGAACGAATAAATCAGAGACAAAAACTCCAGGGAAGTCAGCTTCTGTTGGTCCTGCAACGCCAAATATGCCTAAAGCTGACGATTCTGTTGCTGCTAGCGGTATATAATTAAAAAATGCTCTTTCATGATAATTTGTTTCCTTGAAATTTTTAGGTCGAACTCTTCGAAGTAGCACTACCAGTGCCACTAGTACACCAGCTGTTGGTAATGAAGCTGCATTGATGCCGGCTCTTTCAATTCCTGCACTCAGCACTAGTTCATTCGTTCTTCCAACTGATTCAGACACTAACACCTCTCTTCCACAAAGCAGAAGCAAAAACCTCTGGAGGATTTTATACACCAATTACTGGTTTAAATTGTAGTTCACAACGTCTAAATGCTTTTCGCAATGTGGAAAGGTTTGAATAATTTTTTTGAAATTTTTTAAAGATTGTTTGTTTTAAGATTGATGGGAATATGTCTTCAACATATGGAAATTTTCCCTTTGCCGTATTATTTAATATTTTTTAATTTAATTTTTTTCTTTTAAGTCTTTCTCGTTATGTTCTTAAATATATTTTGGGATGTAATATTACTTGGTATGATTTGGCCTTTTTTGATTCATCTCTCTTTGATTCTTTACGTTCAATTTACAATGAGAATGATGAAAGTTACCAATCTCAAGAATTTTTCAATCAACTTGAAATGACATTTGCTGTTGCTTTGCCTACTGAAGAGGTTTAAGAACAATAAAATTTTATAATTTTTATAATAAAGTTGTTGGCGATCGATTATTGTCTTTCTGTTTGTACCAGGGATCCTGCCGACCTGATTCCCGATTTCCCGAAATCGGGAATTCCTGACGTTTTTTGGGGCGGGAATTCCCGATTCCCGAAATCGGAAAATTTATTTTTGATGGGAATTACCGATTCCCGAAATCGGGAAATTAATTTTTCTCGGGAATCCCGATTTCCCGAAATCGGTAATTTCGATTTTTTGTCGGCAGGATCCCTGGTTTGTACCTTCGGTTTTTGGTTATGACCGAAATTTTGCAAAGCTTTACAATTTTGTTATGATTAACCCCAGTTTTCGGTTTTGGCTAATTCGCCAAAACACGTGTTTTCGATTTCGGTTAACCGATGGCCAACGATTCTATCATACTATTTATTAATTTTTTATATTTTTATTTTCAGGGTGGTGGTACGCTTGAATTGAGGCTTGGTGGTGCTGATATTTCTGTAAATAATGAAAATGTTTTGGAATATATCTTTTTATTGAGAATCGCCTTATTGTACGAAATAAAGCTAGCCTTGATGGTATTTGTTTGGAAGATTTTAAATTCTGTTAAATTTTTAAGCAATGCGTCGCGGTGTCTTTGACGTATTACCAGCTGATGCATTAATTAATTTAACTGCGGAGGATATGAGATTAATTCTTTGTGGCAGCCAAGACATTAATCTACAAATTTTGCAATGCTTTACAAAATTCTTTGATGAAAGTTCAGCACCAACTAATGTGCTTGCCAAATATAAATTAGAGTTTTTGGATTGTTGTGAATAAATTTAGTAATGCAGGTTTTTTAAATTTATTGTTTTAAAATTATTTGTACTTTTTAAAGGATCTTTGTTTCTTTTGGACTGGGTCTCCATATTTGCCATCTACTCAAGAAGGTATATCAAGATTAATCGAGCAACAAGAGGAAATTCTGAAATACGGCAACACAAGAATGAAAAGTAAAAGAAGAGTAGACTTTGTCGTTTCTTCAAGCGCTCCAATTCAATTTCGTTTTCAACATTGAGGTTATTTTGTTTTTGCTATTGATATTATCATCAAATTCTTTAGTGATTCTGTTAAACAACATGCAGTTACATATACAGCGGCAGATGTCTTCCCACTTCAACAGCTACACAAGATAAAATTTTATTGAAAGATGTGTTCTTGATGAGCATTGGACGGAAAATTGATGATGATTTACAAGGATGAGAGAAGCTTAAAAAATGTGGCAAAGTTGCTTCAGCCACATTTTAAGGTCTAAATGATATTTTAATGAAATATGTTTTTATTATTTTTAGTGCTTTTCCGTTTGCGTCCATTTTTTTGTTTTATTTTTTCAGCAAAAAATGTTATCAAAATCGGCAAAATTCTTAAATACAAAAACGGAAAAGCACAATTAAGCCACTTTTAAAAAAAGGATTTTTGCGGATTCGTTTAGAAGAAAGCAAAAAGGCCTTTTCTTTACAAGTGGTATTTTTTATCACATAATTTTTTTTGTTGGTTAAAATGGGTTTGGGTTTGCCCCCCCCCCTCCCGGGTTTACCCATCACCCAACTCTTCCAAGCTCCTAGAGCTTCATACACTCCTAAACTCCACCAAAACCGATCCAACTAGACGACCTTATAATGAAACACCCAGATAGATTCCACAAGGTATATACATCTAATGCCGCCAAACTCGAATTGCAAAAACTCTCCATAGGTTCAGGCTTTCATACCTCCGAGTTATATCCAAAGGCACGGGTTCTTATTCAATAGGTGTAGACAGTAGGGCACTTAGACCTTAGATTTGATTAGAACCCCCCCCCCCCCCCCTTCCTGCACTTCAACGGCTCGTCTACAACTTCAACTGCTCCTGCCAGCCGTCTACAACTTCAACTGCTCCTGCCGGACTTCTACAACTTCAACTGCACCTGCCAGCCGTCTACAACTTCTCCTGCACCGACTCTAGTGTCCCCTGGGCCCCGACACGGTACTCCAATGAACCCCCGGGTCCAAGATGGTGCTCTACTGTCTATACCCATTTTATAAGACCCCTGTCTTCCACCTATCCCAAGTCTGACCCAAATGTCACTCCCCAACATGCCCCGGACAAAACGTCACTCCCCAATTCGTCCCCGGACAAAATGTCACTCCCCAAAATGCCCCGGACAAAATGCCCCGGACAAAACATCACTCCCCAATTCGCCCCGGACAAAACGTCACTCCCTAAAATGCCCAGGACAAAACGTCACTCCCCAAAATGCCCCGGACAAAACGTCACTCCCCAACATGCCCCGGACAAAACGTCACTCCCAAAATGCCCCACACTGAAAATAACCCGCACTGAAAATCCCGCACTGAACTGACCGACCCCCCTTCTCAAAAAATATTCTCTCCATAGGTTCAGGCTTTCATACCTCCGAGTTATATCCAAAGGCACGGGTTCTTATTCAATAGGTGTAGACAGTAGGGCACTTAGACCTTAGATTTGATTAGAACCCCCCCCCCCCCTTCCTGCACTTCAACGGCTCGTCTACAACTTCAACTGCTCCTGCCAGCCGTCTACAACTTCAACTGCTCCTGCCGGACTTCTACAACTTCAACTGCACCTGCCAGCCGTCTACAACTTCTCCTGCACCGACTCTAGTGTCCCCTGGGCCCCGACACGGTACTCCAATGAACCCCCGGGTCCAAGATGGTGCTCTACTGTCTATACCCATTTTATAAGACCCCTGTCTTCCACCTATCCCAAGTCTGACCCAAATGTCACTCCCCAACATGCCCCGGACAAAACGTCACTCCCCAATTCGTCCCCGGACAAAATGTCACTCCCCAAAATGCCCCGGACAAAATGCCCCGGACAAAACATCACTCCCCAATTCGCCCCGGACAAAACGTCACTCCCTAAAATGCCCAGGACAAAACGTCACTCCCCAAAATGCCCCGGACAAAACGTCACTCCCCAACATGCCCCGGACAAAACGTCACTCCCAAAATGCCCCACACTGAAAATAACCCGCACTGAAAATCCCGCACTGAACTGACCGACCCCCCTTCTCAAAAAATATTCTCTCCATAGGTTCAGGCTTTCATACCTCCGAGTTATATCCAAAGGCACGGGTTCTTATTCAATAGGTGTAGACAGTAGGGCACTTAGACCTTAGATTTGATTAGAACCCCCCCCCCCCCTTCCTGCACTTCAACGGCTCGTCTACAACTTCAACTGCTCCTGCCAGCCGTCTACAACTTCAACTGCTCCTGCCGGACTTCTACAACTTCAACTGCACCTGCCAGCCGTCTACAACTTCTCCTGCACCGACTCTAGTGTCCCCTGGGCCCCGACACGGTACTCCAATGAACCCCCGGGTCCAAGATGGTGCTCTACTGTCTATACCCATTTTATAAGACCCCTGTCTTCCACCTATCCCAAGTCTGACCCAAATGTCACTCCCCAACATGCCCCGGACAAAACGTCACTCCCCAATTCGTCCCCGGACAAAATGTCACTCCCCAAAATGCCCCGGACAAAATGCCCCGGACAAAACATCACTCCCCAATTCGCCCCGGACAAAACGTCACTCCCTAAAATGCCCAGGACAAAACGTCACTCCCCAAAATGCCCCGGACAAAACGTCACTCCCCAACATGCCCCGGACAAAACGTCACTCCCAAAATGCCCCACACTGAAAATAACCCGCACTGAAAATCCCGCACTGAACTGACCGACCCCCCTTCTCAAAAAATATTCTCTCCATAGGTTCAGGCTTTCATACCTCCGAGTTATATCCAAAGGCACGGGTTCTTATTCAATAGGTGTAGACAGTAGGGCACTTAGACCTTAGATTTGATTAGAACCCCCCCCCCCCTTCCTGCACTTCAACGGCTCGTCTACAACTTCAACTGCTCCTGCCAGCCGTCTACAACTTCAACTGCTCCTGCCGGACTTCTACAACTTCAACTGCACCTGCCAGCCGTCTACAACTTCTCCTGCACCGACTCTAGTGTCCCCTGGGCCCCGACACGGTACTCCAATGAACCCCCGGGTCCAAGATGGTGCTCTACTGTCTATACCCATTTTATAAGACCCCTGTCTTCCACCTATCCCAAGTCTGACCCAAATGTCACTCCCCAACATGCCCCGGACAAAACGTCACTCCCCAATTCGTCCCCGGACAAAATGTCACTCCCCAAAATGCCCCGGACAAAATGCCCCGGACAAAACATCACTCCCCAATTCGCCCCGGACAAAACGTCACTCCCTAAAATGCCCAGGACAAAACGTCACTCCCCAAAATGCCCCGGACAAAAC